TAATATTATATTTCAGCATCCTGTTACACTCACACAATATATATGGATAAATACCGTCTTAAGTGCAACAAATTTTTATTGTAGTTTTTACTTCTTTTCCTCCTCCACACTACATGTTTCGGCCCTAAATGGCCATCATCAGGTGTGTATCACTTTGTTGCACTTAAGACGGTATTTATCCATATATATAGTTATTTTGTATACGAGTATTTAATTGTGTGTAATATGTAAAATGTTTCTCTGCTTCATATATATGTTACAGTGTACAAAGGTTGATTGTTTCCTCATTTATTTAAATATGCCATGAGGGGTGTTCAGTAAGGAATGATTGGTACTGGGAGGGATAAAACAGTACTATGGGTAATAAGATTAAGTATGTATACAATTATACCTCCAATATCTCTCTCTCTCTCACATTCATAATGATCTCATAAGCCTCCGTTTATTTTTTCAAAATAAGGAAAGTGGGTTTAAAGCAGATTACATTCTTACAAAACTTCTCTAAGGATCAAGGATTTCAAATTAAAAGTATTTACTTCACAATGGGAAAAGTCTTGAAAAGAGATGTCCACATTCAGGTTTAAAACATAAATTAGATTTATGGTCTGCAAGAGTTTCTTCATTCCATACCAAATCCCCATAATCTGGCAATTACATACTTACCACCAGTAGAGTGCTCCACTTTCCAGTCTAGCTACAGTATACAATGTACAGGTATTAAGCGAGACAATGCGATCTACAGTGAACTCTGTAAAACTCTGGGCAGGGTGCTCTAACTTAACAGCTGCATGATTTAGAAGTTCGTCCAACCAGGTTGCCACCTTTCCACTTTCTGTCGCAACAGAGCAGCGGATAACTGTTGCTGATATCTGAACTATTCGCTCTGACAGCAGTCCCAATGTCGCTGCTTTAGGATGATGAATGTTGACATTCTGGGAGGGGGAAAAAAAAGATACTTCAGGTCACATCCAAAAACCAACCTAACAAATATAAATATTTTCCAAAAACCAAATTTTAAATATCTTCCTAGTATTTTCAGAAGTAAAGGGAGATAATGCATTTTGTGTTGTTTCAACAATGGCAGAATGTGACACAAAACAAACATGCCGGAAAAAAAACACATTTTGGTACAGCAACTAATGATACATAATAAGAGTTATCTTCTGGGATATAGCACCGTATAATTCACTGAAAGTCAACAGATGTTTCAAAGGAACATGTCACCTTCATTTTCAGGGTTGAAGAATAAGGCAAGCAAGAAACCAGCATGAAAGAGGTAGCAAGCAGTTGCTCTGCCTGCTGCCTGCTACCTGCTACCTGCTCTATGGTTTGTTGCCTGCCTTATTCTCCAATCCAGAAGATGAAGGTGATATGTTCCTCAGCCAACTTTCAATGGACTACCCAGAAGACAGAATTCTTCATAACCACTGCCTGAGAAACTCAAAATCCTGCAAGTATACTTGACAAATAAGGAATTTACAACTCTGATTTTACTGACAGCAAGGATGTGAAACATGTAGGTACAAAATAACAAAATGCAGGAGGTTATGAAAGTGATCTATGCAGATAACCAAACACTAATACAGTTCTGTCGAATCTTGCTAAACACTGCTTCATCCACTTGCTGATGGTTCATATAATTTGAACATCGCTCTGTTTAGCACGTAAGCATTGTTTATGAAGCTCCACAATGTGATGTTCTAGGGGAATACCACTGAGTTGTGCTCCACAACCGATCCATTTTCCATGGTAATGTTAATCAAGATTCTTTTTTATTGCTACACCTACATAACAAGTGGCAAGAGGCTATAATGCACAAAAAAGAACAGACTTTATAGTCATAGCTTTATTAAAAACTTTGCAAGAAATGTATGAAATTGTTACGATAGTTTATAATTTCCTTCTGCTGTAATTTTGGACCAAAGAACAAGGAACACAAAGTAAATTTACTAGACATACACCCAACAATTTTTAAAGTGAAACTGAATTAAATAGAAGACAAACAAATAACTCTTTAATTTGAAAATGCGTAATGCAAAGTAAAGGAGAAGTGACTGATAAACGTTCAGAAACATCAGGCTCACGCTCAGATGCCAAAACAACTAGAAATAAAAACTGGATGACATACGGCATAATAAATTTGGAACATGAATTTTATATAGTCTGTTATATACAATGAGTATGTGTAATGTAAAATATATATGAAGAAAGCCTCAAATCTTACATAAAATATACATGTTCATAAATACTACAAACATTACCTGAAATTTTTTTTTATCTGAAGAATACTGAACAGAAAATATCTGAAACATAACTGAGGCTGCTTGTAAACACTGTCTAATTTGGACCAAAATAGTACATTCTAAACAAACATTAATAAGGACCTCTGTTTCAATACTTTTTCAAAATCTTTTCATCCAAACCAGATTATACTAGGGACTACACATATTCACAATTCAGTCATATTTAACAGTGTTCTAGCAACATTTAATTCTGGAAAAATAAAAAATACAGGTTTCAAGAAGCTCTTCTACATAGGCATTTTTGTTGGATATGATGTGTGTTTATGACAGAGACATTGGTAGATTCACTTACTGCCTGCATAGCGCTACCTGCAACTAACATGTGCACCATTCAATCAGCATATTGCATTACTGTAATCTCAGACAGCATCATTACAACTTTACCGCACAGCTAGAAATGGGAAACCACTTGATGCAGAGACAAAGTGAATAAATTTCTTAATAATACAATGTTTCTGCATGATGTATTTTACCTCGACTCTTCAGTTTCAAACTGTAATGTTGGCATACCTCTGGGTGTCTGTATGGTTCAGGCTCATTCCACTTCCACTGGTACAGTTGACCACTTGATGTCACTGCTATAAGTTCACTGTACAATGCTGCCAGCAAACTGAACTGTGGTACTGGTTCCCCTCTCTCTGGCCAAAACTCCAATTCATCTGACATCCAAAGTGGACTCTGGGCTGCAAACTCCTTCTTTTTACTTTCTATATAGAGTAAAATAAGTAAATTTACCATTTTTTAAGAACAGAGTGACCGGCACACATCAACATCACAGCCAAATTGCACAAAGAAAGTACCCAAAGTAATAAATGAATTTTGTGACAATTCAATATTTTCAGTCTATTATCTTTATTGGTCAACTATTATCATATAAATGTGGAAGTTGTCCAAATGTTATACTTCCCAATTCCTAGGAGAAGAATCCTTCTTCAGAAGCTAAGAACGTGCAGCAAGTCAAGAAATTACTGGCCACTGGACTCTATCCAGGTCAGATGAATCCAGCCAACAAGTTTCTATTTCCTTATAATTTATTTTAATATTATCTTCCCATATATACCTAGGTATCCCAAAATGTCATGTCCCTTCAGGTTTTCCAACATCTTGCATTTTGAATCTATCTCACATGTGCTACATGCTGCATTCATCTCATTCCCTTTCGATCTCCCTTCCCTTTAAAGAATTCTATTTAATTTGGTGGCATGACAGCTATAAAGTTTAACTTGGATTATATACCCCAAGTTTTCCATGATAGGTCAATTTTTTCAGCAATAAATAGTATCATAGGATTTTAGCTTCTTCCTGTCAATGCACCCCCTGACCCCAAGGTGCCTCTTTTTCTGATCTGTGTGGAGACTTATACAGTGACATATATATAGTGACCGAAATTCTGTGGTATTTTATTTTTGCTGTTAATGAAACTTTAATTTTCCATTGTTGCAGCACTATGCTGAACGTTCCTGCCACTGGTATTCTTAAACATAAACCATAAAGAAAGTGACAGCCCAATTTACAAAGACAGGAAATTTCTCTTCGCTTTCGCACAGCAAATTAATGTCTCACAGTTAGTAATAATTGGTGCACTAAGTTGAACATGTGTTCCTATTACTGTATATTAAATTATTTGAAAAGTGGCTCATTTTAAGACAGCACGAATAGTAGTTTCCAAACGATGATTCTATTAAGTTACCAATTTTGGGTTTATTTTGAAAGGCAATGCATTTAAAATCACCCATTAATCACAGAGCACCTGAAACTTCATATTATATATGCAGTAGAAGAAACCAAGTGAATATAAGAGTCCTTTCTTCTGGGACATAATGTCATGCAGTCTGCTGAACCTCCATCCTCCAGGTCGAAAAATCTGCCAAGTGAGAAAACGGCATGAAGCAGGTAGGAAGCAGAGCAAAACACTTGCTGAAGGCTGGATATCGCACTTGACCAGGCAATCCATAAGTCCCCGTGGTGGTTCCAGCATGTGGATGACATTTTTGTCACTTTGCCAGATACACAAATAGATTGATGGACTTGCCTGACCACCTGAACATTCAGTTCACCATGGAGATAAAGAGACAGTCACCTTCCCTTTCTGGACGTAAGTATTTACAGGATAAATGATGGCTCTCTGGGCCATAAGGTATGACATAAACCTACACATACCAAACTCTACCTGAGCTCTAGTTCTCATCGCCCATTCAAGCAAGCCATACTTTCTATACTCGTCCACTGGGCTTAAGCTCCTTGTGATCAGGACAGCCTACATTCAGAGCTGGTGTACCTGAGGGGACATTTTCAGGTATAATGGCTACAATGACTGGCAGACTTGCAGGACCTTCAATCATCCTGTGAAGGGTACACTGACAAATGACAAGCCAGATTCAGTTGCCTTCCCGCTGTGTGTGGGGTTGTTCTTCAACCACATTGGCAGGGTGTTGGGCCAGCACAACATCAAGTCAGTCTGCCTCCTGTTGAGTAAATCATTAGTTTCTTTTGGTCAATAAACCTAGACCTGATGACAATGGGAGTACATAGTATCTCCTGTGTCTGCAGTCAGGTGGGTCACTCAATCAACATCAGGCTGAAGAAGCACCACTGCATATCTTGATGGAACATCTGGACACATCAGCCATGGCCAACCACAGATGAGGCAATGCATCCAGCTATATAACACCAACATCCTCTCCACCAAACCCAAACATATGAACTGCCTCACCAGGGAAGTGACTAAGACTGAACTCCATCCCAATAGTATGAACAGGGAGGATGACTGTTGCCTAAGTACACCACTATCTGCTCCATGAAAGATCAGAGGAAGTCTTCTTCACAGGATTCTATACACAGGTTCTCCGTGGGGCCATGCTTTCCTTTGGCAAGTGGATTGCTCTGCTTGTTACCTGCTTCATGCTGGTTTGTTCTTGGCTTATTCTTCAATGCTGAAAACGGAGGCCACATGTTCCAACAAAATGTTGGTTGAATTTCTATGTACTGCACGCATCATATCCCAGATGATAACTCTTCATAACCACTATCATGAGAATCTGAAGACTTACAACCAAAAACAGCCCAAGTCTGTTTNCAGCTCCAAATACTCCGGCACCAAAACAGCTGTTGGCCTGTGTAATATTTCAGTAATTAAGGTTCTGGCAGACTTAGCCTCCCAAGAAAGACTCTGCTCTTAGAAGTTTCATAACTGAAGTTAAAATATATTTCATCTTATTTCTGTCCTGTTATGTTATATGTACTGCAAAAGAATCAATACCAGTCCCACTTACAGCAAGAACACACCCAAAAAAATCTGATTCTGAAAATGACTGTTTGAGCTGACAAGAACATCTGCCTAGCTCCATCTGAAGGCCTATTTCACTGCTAGAAGAGACCCATGTAGATAAGGAAACTAAAGCACAGTAGGTGTTCCACGTCAAAGTCTTACATATGCAGCTGCACAGATATGTTCTGTGACATTTTCTTACCTAGGTCAGTGGAGGTTCATGGGAAGGGGAAACCTGTGTCACAAAGAGGGAAGATACTTCACAGTGCAGTGGGCATCAGGTGATGTACATTTCTTAATGGTTAAAACTAGGTGGAAGTAAGCTACTTACTCACTGTTAGATTCTGAAAGGTAAAATTTCTACCTGAAGAGGGTCAGACAGAGAGTGTGGGTTCACAGGATCTTTATGGGCTGTTAGCCACAAATAGCTTTAAAATCCAAACTGCAAGTACAGCTGGTGTAAATAGTTGCACAAAACAATCATGGCTGGTTAGGAATTGCTCATTATGACATGTGCCAGAAAAAAAAGACTTTGTTTAATACAAAGGTTTTCTATGCCTACAACATTAAGAAACTGATGGTGTCAATGTCTTCTGTGGCTATACTGAAGCAACTGCTGTAAGCCATACTCATTCTATCATGATTTCACTGAACATAACTCCAGAGTCCATGCATCATCACCACTACCGTTCTGTCAATATGTTCTTTCCAGTTCCTTCATGCTGTTGCATGAAGTCACTTTTTTCTTTTGGTTTCTTGGGGCAGGGTGAGTATGAGTCAGCCACTAATAGGCCTATTGCACCAACCAATACAGCTTAATCTGAAACACTTAAGCAACTTCAGAAACACCTAATTTAAGCACTGAGATAGAACCCACCTGGATCTTTGTCCCATGTCGAATCACGCAGAGCAGATTCAAGCCAACGTCGGGGCCCGAAGTACTGACGATCTCTCCATCGGGAAAAACTATCTCGATCTCTATCCCGATCCCTGTCTGATTCACGGTCCCTGTCAGTTGCGAGACGGCGGCTACTAGTATTTCCACGGCTGAAGAAAGCAGAAAAAGAAATTAATAACGCAAGCATCAATTGGAAGTTTTACTGTACATCCCTGTACAACCAGTAGATGATTCAAGCCACAAGAGTATTGCTATTCTGTCATGTCCTTCCATTCTTTACCAACAGTTATTATTGGATTCACCCAAGATTCGTATGTATAATAGATATTACTTTCTGCAGTTTGGAATTTCTTGATATGAAATCTGGGAGGTCAGGTTTATCATTTACAGCTGCCATGAGGAACTCAAAGTATGTGATTGGTTCCTGAGGTAAAATTTATGCACTTATCTTCCTATGCCACTTCAAATAAAGTTGTTGTATTTCACTTTCCTACTGTCTCTTCATGGGTCTAGGCTTTGCCTTTTCTTGTTGGCCATTCTAAGGAGACACAGTGCAGCTTCACCTCAAATGTTAAACACTGTAGCTCAATTTCTGTCAGTGGCTGCTGCTGTTTCATTCACAAGCAAGCTTGCAGATTTGTCATGATTTTTAGCCTTTATAGTTCAATACATTGACCATAATTTTCCTTCCTTGCCTTTTTAGTGACAGCCCACTTGTGTACTTGACAGCTGCTCTATCAGCTTTATCATAAAAACACACACAAATGATATTTTTTACTGAGAGAGCAGAAACTTGCCCACAGCAAAAAAAAAAAATTGTACAGCAATGTCATTCTTGCATGTAAGAGGTACAAACATAGTGAAGGCTGTTCTTTTAAGCATATGCAAATTCATGCAAAGCAAATTAAAGTTACCAGTATGTTGTTGTTAAGGAACATCTTAATAATCTGTCCATGCTAATGAACCATAAACCCCTCCACTTAACTTATTTCATGTAATAAATTACTGTATCTGCACATGCTGTCAATAACAAGTACATATTTATTTGGAGAGGTTTCACTGTAAGAGTCCATAAGGACACACAGTCTGCTTTAAACAGTGAAACTGCTATAGGCAATGCATGTACTATAACATGCTAACCCTGTAACAAGCTGTGCTAGATAATCAGCTCACAGATGATGGTGAGGTAGTGAGCCTTAAGTGTCAGCTGCCTTTTACCCCCAGGAAGATTCCTGGCACTCATTCCTGTTAGAGGTTGAACCGAGCCCAGGGCCATAGTTACACCTGGAAGGATTACGTGAATCGAAAAATTCGATGACCTCATCAGGAATTGAACCCGCAACCTTCCAGCTATTAGCATAGTGCCTCAACCATGCTACCGCATGCATACCATGACAATATATGACTGTGTTTATATACTATACAAACCATCAAAGGTAAGATTAACATACAGTAAAATAAATTGCTGCTGTTCTCAGATTTACCTTCTTATGGCAGAATACCCAAACATGTCTTCAGAAAACATTGCATCAGCATCAATAATAACAGAATGTTCAGAATGGAAACCACCATCTAGAAGTGATATCAGATCTTCTGGAACGTAGGAATCTGGTGCATCATCTGCATCATCTCCTTCTTCATCATCACGACTCAGAAGGTTGTTTACTGCCAGATTAACATCAAGGTTGGTCCGCTACAAGAGCAAATTCAAGTTATTTCATTCTTTGAAAACTTAACTCATCACTACCTTCAATGGCACTGTCCTTAACACCAGAACTGTCCCATGGAAGTGAAATCAATAACATTAATTGCACATTACAGGACTTATTCTATTTGTACATAGTTTTATGACTTCCAAAATTACAATCATAATTATGATTATACCACCACCACCGCCATCACCACCACACCGATGATGATGATGATGACGACGACGATGACTGACAAGCACAAGTACCTCTAGAGAAGTTAACAGTTACTCAAGTTTCAAGAAATTCACTTGATTTTATGGAACCCAAAGGTTCACAATAGACTGTCAATGAACTCCACACCAAGCCAGATGAATGCAGTTCGCATCATTCTCCCTTAACATTATCCTCCATCTATGCCTATCTATGCCTATATCTCCCAAATGATCTCTTTGCCTCAGATGTTCTGACACTGCAGTTGTTATACTCCACCACTTTAGAAAAGTACAACTTGACTTAAGTTCAGTTTTGATATTTCTGCCCTTACATGCTATCTGGAAGAGCAAAATTGAAATTACTACAAATTCATGATACCTTAAAAGTGGGAAGGTTCAAAGTAAATTTATCCACATGCTACACATAATACAGTGAGCAGAATGAGGAAAAAAAAGTCCAGATCTTCGAATTATATGGAGGTCAATGTATAAAATGGATGTCAGCCAGTTTCATGTTTCTTGCAATCAAGAAATGGATTACAAACCACATTTCACATGTGGCAGGCTTCTCGATTTTCTTGAACATTGTAAACACACAGAATGGATGAGTATATATGGTGCAATTGTCTGCAAATGGCATCTGAGCTTTCCCAGTTGTCCAACAAACTCTGCAAGCATGCAGACCATCATGACCACAGCGCTGCAGCAGCAATATTTGCAAAGGGAACTTATTTTGTGGATATGCCTTGTAGATCTTCGTTGCAGAGATATTTGAAACACCAGCATTTTGATGTTACTACAATTCTTGTGTGGCTACACCATGTGGAAGTGGGAAATGTTGCCAATCTCATCACCCTACACTTTTTGTCACTGAAGATGGAAGTATATGCTGCCCCTGTATTGGCAGCAACACTGCCTATATTCACACAGTGTAACCACTCAACAACTGAATTAATATCGTTATGTTGTATTTTAGTGTCCTGTTGTACTGATCTTCGTCCATGATATGAAGCAATGTCCGTCTTTTAGTGCACTCAATTTTGTTACTTCACGACATGTTTCGGCACTGTAGTGCCAAAACATGTTGTGAAGTAACAAGTAAAATTGAGTGCACTAAAAGACGGACACTGCTTACATATCATGGATTAATTAATATCACCAGTCAATCACCATGCAAGCCTAAAATCAGTAATTTCACTGTATTTATGTGAAATATAAAATTGGAAATGTAAAAAGATGATGATGAAAGAGATTATTTAATAAATTCTAATACTTCCATAAATCACTGTTTATTTTAGACAATTTGGCATACAATGATATGCCAGAACATGATTTTGTATTCCTGTAAAGTTACCTGCAGTTCCCTAATGATGAGATTTCTACTCTTCCCTTGCAACACAACCTGTGCCTGTGATACCAGTTCCTCAGGCACATATGGGGCAGGCACAATAGGTCGTGCTCCTCCACCAGCCCCTCCTGCACCAGCCCCTGCTCCCATAATTACTCCAGGAGCACCACGACCTCCTGCTGTTCCTCCAGCTCCACCAGCAGTAACACGTAAGGATGCATTTGAACGCATAATGCGAGCGCGGGTCCTTGTAAGCTGGCGACCGCTTGAGCCTGAACCTGCACCACCAGTGCTGCCAACCTTGCTGTTATTGATGTTGCTGCTACAAACAAGTATATTACTACTGAAGGTTACGAAAATAGTAGTGCAGTAAATTTCTTAATGCTTATACACTTCAGTATTTTTGTTAAACAGATCTGGTCCAACTGTGTACATAAAACAGGAATTGATTCTTCAAAGGCAATCACAATATTAGACTGTGAAAAGTATTTAGTATTTTACTATTATGTACTAAAACTAAGTACAATAATGAGTGACATTGCTTCAAAAGAAAGTTGCTGAAATGATTAAAAGTAAAAATACTGCTAACGTATTTGACTCACAGAAGAATCTTATATGTAAAGAGTTTTAAAGTATAGGACAGAGTTGCATGAATGACAGTTTGCAGGAACTCCTATCAAAACAAATATATAATTTTATAAGATTGCATCTTATTTGTGTTCTTGTGAAGTCAGAAGGTTAACAATCACACAAACCTACATTACAATTTTTTTTGTTCTCCCATAAAGTTAAGTCATAAAGTTAATAGTCATACATTTAAAAAACTCTGTTTTTTTATTTTTCTCTCATTATTATTAGCCTGGAACTACAAGAATTGATTATATTCTACATTGTCAGCTGTTGATACCATTTTGAAGGTCATCCATACATCTTTCTTTCACAAAATCAACATGGCTTCTTTAATCCATTTTAGCTGGGTTTAATTACTCAGCTTTAATTTTCACACCTATCACTAGTGTCTTCAATGATCCTGTAGTAACTTATGTAAAGTAGTTCCTATATAACTTTGGATTTCCTTCTGATGATGGCCACTAGTGACCAAAACATGTAAAGGAGAAACAATTTTATTTAATTAATTATTAAAACAATTGCATTTGTTGATGGAATTCTGCTTTTTCATATATTAATACAGTGTAATGGTTAATATATCCTCTATAAATATATTCAAGCATTTTATTCAATTTATGGACTTCCCCCACTTGCATTTTAAATACTTTATATATATACATATATGAATGGGAACAAATTTCTTACCTTTTACTGGGATCAGTTTTGCTAAGGTCAAGTCGATCTATGATAATGGAGAATGACACTCTACAAACACGCCCATCCTCTAAAAGCAGAGCAAAGTGACTTGGACCAACCACAATACGCTTCACGGCTACTTTGAGATTGCTCAGAGCAGCTGGAGTGGCAGACCCAAAACGATTCAATTTCTCAGACACCTCTTTGAGCCTAGAAAATAATATAAATATAACCTTCAGATTTTTTTCATTAATGCTGAATTTTACTCCCAAATGAAATAAATCTCAATAATAAAATTCAGCAACAAAACACTCATCCAAATCCCATGAAATATTTTTACCAAGAATTTGGTATTTCTTGCTCCTTTCTATTACTGAACACACCACGAAGTAGGCATATCAGTGACATACACATAAAGCTCTACACATTCTTGATCTTTGAAATAATGGAGATGAGTAGCAAGATTCAAGCTGCTACCAATTTACTTTAGGGTAAAGAGCTCCCTAATGAGACCAGTTGGGGGTGGAATATTGGAGAATAAGAAACCTCCCCATATCAGGAATCAACACTACAGCCACTTGTTACTCCAGCCCATATAATATCTGAGGATGTAAGACTGGTAGTCTTACATCTTTATTCAGTGTGGTATATTTACTGTTGATTAGCTCTGTCAACAACCAAGTTGTGTCGGCATAGAGATTTTTACCAGTGTCATACACTGATCTTTAGAATGATGAACTGCTTTTGGGAAATTATGGGCTTATGGGATGTGATGCCATGTAGTTTCACAGACAGATCCCAGTATATCAGGGGTACCTGTTGCCTTCACATTCAGGCTACAAGTCTTCTACACTGAAGATGAAGGCAGGAGGCAATGTGAGAGACAGGTACCAGTGTTTCAGACATATTTCAGGTTGAGTTCTGTGTAAAGAAGAGGATGTGGCAGACTTATACAGACCAACACTGAATTCACTCTTAGCGTAAAAAAAAAAAAAAAAAAACTTTACAATACTCTGCATACTTGATCCCCTTGAGCATACTCTCAGACAGCCACACACACAGATTACAGGCATTCCATGGATTCTGGTTACTCAGGATGTGACACAAGTTGGTGCACAAATAAACACATTAAGCAAGTCAAAGCAGAACAAATACAAGACAAAGGTACATTAAATTTTTACATCTATGAGAAATTTCTTGTAAATACACCACATAAGTGTTACAAATCCAGACTAATGGTTTTCACAGTTTTCCTCACTCCCTCCAGGCAAATACCATGATAGTTCCTAATTTAGGCCCAGGACTACTTGAAATCCTTTCTAATTCATCAGTCACCCCACCATCCAATGCTATAGTCTCAATATTGAAACATTCCACAAAAAAAATATGGTTCCATACATAAAAAAAGCTTCTATTAATTATGCAAGGTTTACAGGTTCATTAATGGAGATGGTGTGTGACAAAATGACTCCTTTAAATGTTTAATGAAATTGTTTTATGCTAGCAGAGAGACTTCTGATTTTAACATGAACTTCTTATGCAATTTAATTCTTGCAAACTATAACATATCATATCAGAATATCATACGTGTGTGACTTTATCACAACTCTGGGTCTCCCATTTGTAAGACATGATTCAAACACTGGCCTGCATTCCCATTTAACCCATAAGGTACTTAGTTAGTTATTAGAGAGGGTGGGTTTCCCCATGCACTTAGACCTGTAGTGGTCCATTGTGCTTCCCTCTATGATTTCTACCAGCCTCTATATACTGCCAGTATTGGTGCTTACCATCAGTCCTGCCCAGCCAGCGAGACCGGCTCTACTGGCTGAGAGGTATCTATAATGCTTCCCCCACCTACCGGAGGTATTAGTGACTGCTGTCGGGTGGCAAATGTCAGCAATTTTGCTCAGTGACCTCCTTTGGAGGTATGAGGTTCTTTTACGTGCCGTAAAGCTACGACACGGGACCCACAGCTTAAAGCCCCTCCCGAGGACTTGTTCCCTGAATTTTTCCGCCCTTAAAAATTCGATGACCTCCGCCAGTTATTTGAACCCGCGTACTGCGACTCATGAGGTGGAAACGTTACCTCTAGACTACGGAGGCTGCTAACCCATAAGGTAAGTTTGTGAGTAATGTTCTTTGCCTTACACAGTTAAAAGCCTTGGTAAGATCACAGAATAATCCTGCATAATGAATTTTGCTATTTAAGACTTCCAATACTTCAGTGTATGTTCAGGTGTAGCTTTTTCACTGATCAGATTCTGCCTAAGAGCATACTGCTCACTGACCAAAATGGTGTCGCAGTTTGAAAAGCATATTACTCATTTGTAAATAATGTTCTCAAATGTTTCAGAGAACACCAATAATACAGAAATTGGCCTGTAATTTGAAATACACTTGTATCCCTTCTTATGTAGGGGTTTTAGAGCTGATGACTTTGGTCTGATTGTAAAAATTTCCTGTTTCCATCACATAATTAAACTGGTTAGCTGAATGGCATGCATTCTAATTAAGCGCAAGCAAATTTTCATTATGATGAAAGATATTTCCATCATTTCCAAATAAGTCCTTATTTCTGGATATCTAGATGATCTTATAAATTTCATTTGCAATCATATGCACAGATATTATACCCAGAAATTTATTCTGGATTTATTTTTTTGTACAGCAACAAATTGCTGTTTTTACCAGTGAATGGAATATTATCAGCAACTAAATGACTAAATTTGAACTCACCAGCAATTAAATGAGACATTATATTCTCTATTATTTAAGTTGACTGAAGTAACACCATGTGTAGGTCATCCTCTACCAGTTCCTCTTTTTTCTACATTCCAAGTGGTTCTTATTTTATTAGATTCCATAATTTGTCACTTGGCTTCTACAAGCTTAATAACATTGGTCAAGATCTTGCAGACTGGTTGTAGTCAAATTTCATTCATGGATTATTGCTAACTCTACTATACATGTAAAAGTTCCTTTTCAGGTTTGCATCAACCCCTGATGGCATTAAACAACCATTTGCTTCTGACATTACTTATTTTAGAGCAAAATCTGCTTCAAAGATGTGAATATCAAAGAGGTGAGGATAGTTTTGTTTGCAGATGATATAAATATTTTAGTAACACCTGAAAAGGGACATATTCTGCAGCAAAAGATAAATAAAGTCATGAATGAGTTATATGGATGGTTCAATGCAAATAATCTTATACTGAATACTGAGAAAACAATAGCGATGGCATTTCATAATAGACAAGAAAGAGATGTGATGAAACCTCAAATCAAATTTGGCAAAATGGAGATCTCCTATAAATGTGAAACGAAATTTCTAGGTATACATGTTGGCGAGCATATGGAGTGGAAAGCACATATGATGTTCTTAAGCTCAAAACTTCATAAAGTCTGTTACATGATAAAATCCCTTAGGGATGTAACAAGCCAACAGGTTATAAGGAGTATTTACTTTGCTCACTTCCATGCTTATTTGAAGGATGATTTAATTTTCTGGGGTAGCGACCCAAAAAGTAAAATTATATTTAAATTGCATAAACGAATTGTTAGAATAATTAGTGGTGTGAGTAGATTAGCATCATGTAGACAACTTTTTAAGGATTTAAACTTACTTCCACTACCTTGTATATATATATTTGGAATAGTATGCCATGTTAAATGACATTTAGAAAAGTTAGAACAAAATAACATAGTTCATAATCACAATACATGCCAGAAGTTAAATCTCCATGCTCAGTTTTGCAGAACAAATGCCTATAAGAAAGGAGTACTGAACATGGGAATAAAATTATACAATAAAATACCAAATAAAATTAGGGAGATAGAAAAAATGAGAGAGTTTAAAAAAGTAATGAGGTCACATTTGGTACAACATACATTTTATTCTGTAGAGGAATATATGTTATATATGTAGTTAAATATTATATATAGTATTGTTGACTTTTATACAAATAATGTGACTTGTTCTATATCTGGAGACTGTATTGTAAAATGTGGATTTCTGGAACCAATAAAATATGAATATGAATGAACATGAATAATATGTTACAAAAATAGCTAAATTTCCTTTCAAAATCTGCTCTACAGTATGGAGATTAACACTTCTCATTTTTTTAATGCTAGTGGGGTGGGACTAAGTCCCTTGTACTGCAGCCACTTCTGGCCTATTGTACCAGCCCCAGATGATAGGTGAGGGTGATTGTGAAGCAATTGGTGGAATGAAGATTGGCAGGGGAAACTGAAGTACTCGGAGAAAACCTGCCCCAGTGCCACATTGTCCACCGCAAATCCCACTTGACCAGACCCGGGATCAAACCCAGGGTGCCGCGGTGGGAAGCCAGCAACTAACCGCTTGAGCTATGGCGTGGCCAATACTCCTCATTACTAGAGCACAAACACAACTAGCATTTAAACTGTTTGACAGTATCTTCACTTATTAATCTAGTATTACATTTAAGCAAATGCAAGTTATAGTTTGTCTCTTCACTATTAACCAAAATTCCTTGGTTGCCATAATCTGACAAATCACTCATTATTATCTTAACATGATCAGAATGATGTGTACTGTGACCTATGAAAATGCTGTTATTAATTTGCCTAAATTGTTTTCGATTCTCAATGGAAAATTAGCTATGAATGTTTGAATGTGGGTTTATAACAGTTAATGTAGGTGTGCTTTTTGGCTACATTCAGAGAGACATTCAATATTAAAAACTCCACAAGTAATAAATTCACTGTATGGCTTTACTAGTACACTGTGTAGTTAAATTAGGAAACCCACAGGGAAATTATACACTGACAGAATGATGAACTTAAACCATTTTTAGCAAGACCTGCTTGCTCTCTACTTCCTGCTGATTTCTTGCTTGGCTTACTCTTCAGACCTGAAGATAATGAAAGTACGTCTCTAAAAAACATTGCTGATCTACTACCAGGCTACACACTTTTACATCCCAGAAGACAGAACTCTTCTATTTTTTACTATTTGTACAGAAAAACATTCAAAATCTTGTTTCCAACAAAGGAATAAGATGTGGGCAGATGATTGGTCTCTTCCATCTCCCTTCTCTCATCACACATACAATCTTCAGTCTTAGTGCAGTCTCCAAGGGAAGCCACTTTTTAAATCTGGATGAATTAATGCCTACTGGTAATACTAAGTATTTTAATTAAAACACAAATGCAGGAATTAGTAGTAATGTGGGTGCAAGTACATGCTCACATACAGTGCTGGGAAGAGTGGCAGAGGCACTGGAGGTGGAAGAAGATAGAAGATCAAGAATAACCTGTTCTCTTTTCTGTCTCTCTTCTCTCTCCTTGTCCATTATTGTTAAAACCTTTTTTTTTGAACAGTCTACTGTACTTCTACAGCCTGACCACATTTGAACTTCAAATTACTTTGTGTCATACCAAAAATACTAGATACTCATCAATAAAACGTTAATGCAAGAGTTGGTAACATTGTAGCTGCAACAGGGGATGCAAATAGTGTCAAAAAAAAGTAGTATCAGGTAATGGAAGGTAGGTGGAACATGTGGGGATCAGCCTCCATTTCTCCATATTTTCCATACACTTGTCTAAAGTTACATGTCTGTTCTTATCTCCACAGTATCCTAACCTGTTACCAAGTTCTGGGTATATAAACGGTTATATACATGAATCAAACTTCCATAAGATAATCATCCAGTAGTTTTATCCAAAAGGAAAAGTAAATATAATTATACACACAACGGGCCTATACAAGACCAAATTGAACAACATACATGTATCATAAATCGTCCATAGCTCTATATGAAGCTGTAAATAGATTAATGCACGAGGGTATTGCCTGTTCATTTATTGCATAACACTGAACGAAACGTCGCCAATTATACACTCCTACACAAACCTAAATCAAACTTTGCAGTTTTATTACTAAAAGGATTGAAATTTGGGCAAGTTTCCTCAATTCTGCTGTGCTTTTGAATGTTCTAGAATAAACCTTCTGGCAAGTTAACTCACTATGTGGTATAATTACTCCGATGGCATGCCGATATCAATATTACTATTATGAAAGTATTTTTTGGGATGGTTCAAATGCAGTTAGCTTCTCTGCCTTCCTTATATGCAAGAATTCAATCCCGATTATAGAAATCGGCCATGAATCATATAAGAGTCTCAATCATGATTCTTGATGCTGCCCTACGCCAGTCCATAAAAAATGTTTTACCTGTCATTGAGTTGCTCTTCTGTGCCTGGAAGCGGATGCACTACAAAATGTATCGACGACATCTCAGTTCTTGTATTACAGAATAAAAGCTGACTCAAAAGGGCACATATCTCTCACAATCAATTTCATAACGACCTATAACTATTCCATCGCCATATTTTGTAGACAACAACGAGCTTGTAACGTGCTGCATTCTATGATGAACCGGAGGAAACACGGAGCAAAGCAAGTTCACACATAGGCGCATGGTCGTAGGGGTCATATGAACTCACTTTTTTTTTGGAGGGGTGTTGTAATCGGTTGCAATGCCCTATTTTGCAGTCTTAGCGACCCAAGTTTTTCTTGTATATATGTGTCAGTTTATAGTATAAGTATGTGTGGAGGGAAATGAACCATCAGTTGATCGAAGTTTGGTATTGTACACTTATGTAAATGAGAAAGGAACAGTGATGCTTTAAGATCTTTGCAAAAAGTAAAAAATTGCTTGCTTGGATTTGAGTTTGCTGTAAAAATGCATGAAGCTTGTTGTGTTTGAAAAGGATCCGTTTTATTCTTATTTTAATATTGTCAGGCAGTGGGCTCTAATTGTTATATGTTTTGTTACATTCAGGATTTGGTATGGAGACAGCAGAAGGACATGAGGAATCAGAATCTTCAAAATTAGTCAGTGACAGAGGGTTAGAGAGGAATGGAGAAACCATATCAGTCTTTTCAGGTTCTCCAACTTCTGAACTAAAATCCTCATGGGAAAGAGAGGGAGTAAAAAGAAACAGAGGACCCAGAGTACGGAGACGACGAAATGTCCGCAGTCATTCATTACCATCTTGGCAGCTGAACAAATACTCTGCTGGTGAAATCCGGCGCATACGTGAGCGTCTGCTAAGAACACAGAGACACCCTGAGCCTGGACCAGTTAGGCATTTCACTCGTACACAGAAACTTGCACTAACTTCTCTTGCTCTTGTTGATTTCATCAGTTTCTGCTCCATGTCCATTATGGCACCATTCTTCCCAAAAGAGGTGTGTCATGTATGAAGATTTTATTTTTGTGTCTTTCTTCATACTTTGTATTGCTATGTATATTTTACCAAATCAAAGTAGTGCTTTTTAGACAGAATAGTTTGAATAATAGGTCCCTAGTAATATCAGTTACCCGGTACACAAAATAGAAGAACTAAAATCACTTACAAACAATGTTGTAGAGGATTTTTAGGTGTTAATGTATTTCCTGTGGGATAATTATTGAGGGTATGAGTGTTAACTTCGTAAAACTTATCTTCAACTTCATAAAATATACACAGAAGTTTCATGTTGTAAGCATACTTGTGATATTGTTGCTCTCCGTACACAATATGCATTGATTTTGGAACATAACATTAAAGAAATTAATTATTGTGTTACAAAGAGAAGTGAGATTAATCCAAATCATTTGATGGGCTACAATCACAAATGTGCATCTTTTATCATCATAGCATGGCTTGTCCTCAGGTTGTGGATGAAGGATATGGCCTCCAGATATGGAGGGTAGCTGCAGGTATATTGAATAAACAGTCATGGACAGGCAGCAAGGGGTAGTCCTCCAGCTTGGGGGGTTGGGTATGGAGCTAACAACTCCTGACCTTAAAAAATTATTTTGTTATGAAATGTTACATAGGGCCTCAGAAAAACTGGATAAGAAGGATCTTCATAACTCGTAATCTTTGCCAGGTATAATTATAATGATCAAGGAGAATGTGATGGGCAGGGAATGTAGTACGCTTGGGGACAACTAGGAATACATACAGAATTTTGGTGGGAAAGTTAGAAGGAAAGAGACTAAGAAGACCTAGGTGTAAGTGGGAAGATAATATTAAGCTGGATCTTAAAGAAATAGGATGGCATGGTATGGACTGGATTTGTCTGGCTCAGGATAGGGACTGCTGGAAGGTTATTGTGAACATAGTAATGGAACTTCAGGTTCCATAAAAATGTTAGGAATTACTGAGTGACTGGTGGCTTCCCAAGAAGTACTAACCTCCACGGCATTAGTTTGCTGGTTACAAATGCAGACATTTCTCTAACCTTAAACCTTATGATAAGCCCTGTTCATTGTGTGTAATTGTCTCCCAAGTACACATTTATGAACAGCAGAACATTTCAAAATCTCTCTGCTTCCATTGCTGTAATTAGTATTCATCGATGCTGTTAATTAATTCCATTTTGAACAACAAAATATAATTAACACTATCAAATGCCTTATGAAGATTGCAGAAAATACCCCAATTAATAATTTACTATTTAATGCTGTTAAGATATTATTAATTAAGTGATAAGACGCGCAGTCTGTCAACAATGCTTGCCTAGAGCCAAACTGTTCATTAACAAGACTATGATTATCCTTAATATGTTGATATAATCTATTATAGAGTACTTTTTCAAAAATCTTAGAGAGAGATGTGAGGAGCAAAATAGGTCTATCATTAGATGTGTAATTTTTGTCTCCTCTTTTAATTATAGGTCTTATTTCCAAAAATTTTAATCTTGTTGGAAAGCTGCCTGTAATCAACATTCTATTTCATATAAAAAGAAACATGCCTTAGATTTACGAAAAAAGTCCCAATTATCCTGTATTCTATTTAGGGGATGAGAATTACATGAAATTTAACTAGTTCAGTGAAAATTCCCTGTATGTTTTTCAGTATTTTGCAGAAATAATACAAAATTCTGTTAATTTTTGTTATGGGCAGTCACATTTCTTCAGCTTAAAGGGTGGTATAGTGATGTTCTTGGGTTTAGGCTGGAGATTACCAACTGTTGTGACTGTGATTTTTCATGGTTTTCTTTTGTATCTCCAGAGGAATGTCATATTATGACTTCCACCTCCTACATCCTTATCTACTCATCATTCATTTCCTATATCATTCAGTATTATATAACTCAAGGAATTGAAGCAGCGTTGTTAAACAACCTAATCAACCAAAATTACTGGAAGCAGATGCAGATTGACAACAAAAATCGAAAGTTACGATCAAGTGGATAACATTCTTTGTATTCAAGAGATCCTGGAATGAAATCTTAGCCCAAAGAGCAATTATCCTGACAGTTGTTTTTGTTGTTTTTCTCAGTCCCTTAGGGAAATGGGATAGTGCCTTAAGTTAGGTCATGACTGTTTCCTTCCACATTGTTTCCAGTTCATTATTCAGTAATCATCCCTACCATTCAGTGCTGTATAGTCTAAGCTACTGAGAGCAATGTTAAATAAACCCTAAATAAATATACAAGTAAAGTAAAGATGGAGTTGCAACCAGAACTTTATAAAGTATGTCTTCTTTCAATACAAATTTCCTATGCAACTCTTGTGTTGTTAATGTTATATTTAAGTAATGTAACAACAGAATACAATTCAAGTGATTCAGCAGGCTGAGATTGTGAACAGATGGTCATTGAATGAAGTCCAACTCGAGTAAGTTTTTTTTTATTTCTTATAATTGCATTTATATTATATCAGCAGCATTCAGGGAAGAACTTACCACTTTTATGTACAGAGTCCAACTATGTTAAATGTGTCACATGAGATTTTCTCTGTCACCATGATCATGTTAACTACAGGGTAATTTTTTTTTATAAATTTGATGCATTCATGGCTATGCACTTCACAGGGACCAGAGTGCATGCGCGTATTGCTGATGACTCAGCATGCCAATGACATTTGTAATGAAGGGAAGATCCTACCTTTGTTCACAGATCACAGGAGGCATTGAAAATCCTGGCCCTCTACACATAAACATCATTTCACAATTAATTATTTCTTTAAAAACAAGTACAATAATCCTTGCACTTACAGCACACCAGACACCAGCTTTCATTGGATGGCTTCAGCAATTGTGTTACCATTCTTGCACTAGACTCTGACACTCCAGTCTCCTGAGTTAGGCATTTCATTGATTTTCTAGGTGTATGTTCAAGTCTAGCTCCTATGTCATCTAACTTCTACTCAGTAAGCACTCGGCATTTATGTTTTTTTTTCTTGTCTCTTATGAGTCCTGCTGTTCTAAGTTTATTCACCAAATTGTGAATTGTTTGTCTTCTGGGAACTCTTTCATCATGAAATTTACATTTAAATTTTTTCACGCAACTTTCAAGCAGATCTGTATCTCATGTAGGTGTCATACCGAAATACACATTGCTCTAAAGTACAGCGAACCACATCATACCACACCGCTGACTTTGTTAACTGGGAAGAAATGGCTCATGGCGCTGATAACTGCTGCCTACTGTTGACACACCATAAACAAATTCCCATACATGAACAATACCATGTAGAGGTATACAGTTATTTTCATTCATTCATTCCAAATGTTATCAGAATGCTGTCACCGGCAATATTCGCATGTACTCCACACAAGCAGTGATCCAGTCCTCATGAAGCACAGAGCTGTGAACTTTTATTAAGTTAAAAAAAAAAAAAAAGACCCTGTGTTATCATGTCTTCACATCAAATTTGTAAGTTCTTCCCTAAATGTCTTGTACAGCAGATAAGATTTATCTTACAGTGTAAGGGAGGGAATTTTAATATTTGTGTTTTTATTTGCAGGCTTCACAAAAGGGAGTGTCAGAGATTGTATCTGGTCTTGTCTTCAGTTTCTATGCACTAGTTATGTTTGTTTCATCGCCTTTATTTGGAAAAATTGTAAGAGGTGCTAAAAATAATTTAAAAGTAATAAATGATTGATTGATATTAAAATTTAATTACAAATGTAAATTTAATTTCAGTGCCCTATTCTGACTTTTACAGCTTCCTCGTGTTGGGGCTAAGTTCCTTTTAATGTCAGGCATGTTTGTGGCTGGTAGTTGCAACTTCTTATTTGGGTGAGTACAGAACAATTTTGCTAAAAGTTTCCCAGTAACAACAGCAGTAATTTTGTTATAATGAAAATACTCCTCCAACATAAACACACCCACATTACCACCCAAACCATTTTTTTGTAAAATGTTCACAATGCCCCCCCCCCCAGCGATTCTAACTTTAAATTATCCTTTTTTTTTAGTTTTGAAATTCAATACATGTGTGTCTATTTTTATTTTTTATATTTAATGTGCGGTATATTATTAAGTCAAATTATGTCAGCATCTGTATATTTCCCATGTATCACCTGACAGTGGTCTGTCTGGGCAAAAACATGCTGTGCTGGAGAAACCTCTCCATTCTTATTTGTCAACACCAAAAGCAGGATGCAGCACTACAAGATTGAAGATGTACATCCATCATTTAATTGCAATATTTATTTTCAGCAAATGAAGGTGAAGTTCATGGCGCTCCTTTCCAAATGCATTATTTGCAACTTTACATAAAAATTCTGCTTTCTGTTTGCTGCACTGCTTGCTCAGCTTACTCTTTGACCCTGAACATGAAGGCAGTATATTCCTCAGAAATGCCAGTAAACTATTACCAGAGTACGCAGCTTCACATCCCGGATTATACTTTTCATTGTCTCCATCAATTTCCCAGTAGAAATGTGTAACCACTGTTTCAAGAGCTATTTATGATATTCTTTTGTCCTATAGGATGTTGGCATACATAGAGAATTTCCCAACCTTTACGACCTATTGCTTCGTGGTCCGTGGGATGGAAGCACTAGGAGCAAGTGCATATGCCACAGCTAGTTACGTATTTGTGGTTGATATCTTCCCTGATAACATTGGATCTGTTCTTGTAAGCATAAGGATGCATTATCATAATATGTTTGTGTAGTCTGGTGTGTGGGAATGTACATTGTACTCCTGGTAGTAGTTTGACTTCCTTCCACCCTTATATGCAGTCAGATAGTGACAACAATTTTTCGCAGATTAGTTTATGGCTGAATACCTTAAAAAATACAGAACTAACATAAGTTGTAGAAAACATAAATGATATATTTTGTGGTAACTATCTCATCATCTAAAAGCTACTGTTGATTTTTCTGTTTACAGGGAATTCTTGAGACTTTTGTTGGCTTAGGAATGAGTATAGGACCTGCACTTGGTGGAATTCTGTACTCAGTAAGTTGAGCATAGTATAATTTTTTTTTTTCATTATATCAACAAAGATTACTTCTGCATTCTCTCATAGTAAGCACGTAGATTGTTTTGATGTCATGTTCTTTGAAGCCTACTTATGAAGTATGTTATGTGTATATGTATGAAAGGAACACTTCTAAATAACATCCACATGCACATGAGTGAGTAGATGGGCATGTGCATGTGGATGTTTCCCCAGTTCTAGTACCTTCTTATTACACTAGAAACCTTCCAGCTTCTTCACTATAAGCACATTTTATTATATAATGAGATTTTGTTTTTTGCCAAAGCATTTGTTTATCAGAATTCATGTTTTTTTTTTTTTTTTGCTCTTTCACTAACCCAGGGAAAGGCTTTTTCTTCTATTTCAGTTGTAAATACAATTCATCCTGTACAGACACTTCCAATATTTAAGTTACTTTTCCTGAATGATATGGAGTAACATACTAACATTTCCTTAAATGTCACTGTAGCAAGGTGAGTCCTCAGGTTGTGGATATATGGAATAGCTTCCAGATACTAAGTGTATCTGTGGATATGTTGGGTTGGGTGAATGGTGAGCAGGCCCTTGCTATAAAACTAGCATGTTATGCCTCCTCAGTGAGCACAGTGATAAACCTTCAGATTCCATCTTGAAAAGCAGAGTCTCTTGACTATTTGAGCCTCTGTTAACTTCTCAAGAAAGTTATTTAAATTCTAGACAGTAGGAGTTATTATTTCCGTACACTTGAATGTTTCCTCACATGCATTAGAAGTTATTCTTGTGGTTTATTCAGTAGATATGCTGACTTTGACATTTTGAAAGGGAATGTAACTCTGTCGCTTCCAGCCAGTGAGGTTAAATGTTGAATCATTCTGGAACATATGTTCCTAAAATATAACACTATTTAATTTATAGGTGAACCATATAAGTGAAAATATATGAATGCTTAGATTTTTAGGAATACCACTTTGGTAAAAAATATTGACACAAATTTTTGGGGTGAGAAAATACAGAATTACAAAATTTACTGACAATATAATTTCCAAACTGGTCATGTAAATTATTTTCATTGTTTTTACAAGCCATAAAGTATTAGAATGCCCTTGATGTACATTGCTTTTCTTGGAAATCAGACAGCCCTATTATTTTGATTTCCAAAGCTGTCTTCTATGCAGTTGATTTATTTGTATGTAAGATGAGGTAACCTCATTGTTAATGATTTTCTGTCAGTTCTAATGCTGAAGAGATAGTCTGTGTTGTAATAATATATTTTGTATCGAGTGACTATAGATGGGGTTTGGTTTGGTAATTGGATTTACTGAGCATTTACAGATTGTAACTACAAGTAACTATAGCGCTTTCACTAAGTCACACTCAGCAGCTCGCTACAGCACGTAAGTCTTCTCAGTCTGCTGTGTCTTCACCAGGGGATGCCCCTTTGCTCACAGGCTGGCATCCATCTCTTATACCAACCTCATACCCTTCTTACTACATCTCAAGACTCTCTCCTAATGCCAACTGGCCCTTGTTATGAAGCCTCAGCACAGATAGCACAGAGAACACCACTTCCTACAGCTCTTTTGTTGTGTGCATGTCTGTTGTGGCCATCTAGCAATGTCCATTATTTACAGAGTCATTAGTTAGCAATGGCTATTGTACAGCTGCTTATTTCATGGTCGTTGTCTAGCAGTGGGTCTACATATCACTCTATGTTCATCTGTTCACCATAGAAGTGGCCTTCATATAGTTGCTACTTTCATTGCTGCAGTACAATTATAAAGTTACAGTACTGTGGAATCTTGAAACTTTCTAATTTAAATAACATAGAACAGTGCTTATCAACCCAAACTATATTACAGATGATAAAGCTTCTGAATTCTCTATCATGGACTGTTAAAATTATATAGATTTAAGGGAAGTGAGGGTAAGGGTGTGCATTTCACAGTTTTTCAACTGGGCTCAGCATATGTTACACAATAAATGAATTTAAAATACATGCCAAGTTTTATCTGTCTGTTGCCTACAAATATCAGATGTAAAAATTGATGGGAAACGTACGTACTCTTCGCAGTAGTTCTTTGAACAAAGTTTCCAAATGTGCACTCATGGACACCTGGGTAGATACCAGTTCACATGCATCAAATTCTGCAGTGGTCACACAGGAAGTTGTCACCTCCTTCCCAATTGGAACTAACCTAATGCCACCATTCCAGACAGCTTCCGCACTCGACCCAGTCATCCTCAAATGTCTCTCCTCCTGCTGAACAAGCAGCTGATGAAAACATGGAAGTAGATGGCATGGGAAGGATCCGTTTTCACCCTGCACCATTTTGTTGACCTAGACCTCCTGATTTTTCTTTTTTTCTGTGCTGCTTCCAATCCTCTCAATTACTGCTGTTCCCTTCCATTTTGCTTGCTTTCAATTTTTCTTTATTTTCTCTTGCATTGTCTGCCTTTCACAGAAGTTTTTGTCAGTGGGTTTATTGCTTTAATGCTAGTGTGGATAGTACTTTCTGGAAGTAGCTATATTGTCAGGTGGTTGTGGAGAGGCAGATATAGATGTATCAGGACCATCGACACAAAGGGAAGATTCACCATCTGAGTGCCTGTCTTTGGTCCCTCCCAAATCCTTATCAAGCATCTTACCTTTGCCAGTGACCTCAGATGGTTCAAAATCTTCACCACATATGACATTTGGCCTGTAAGCGTAAATTGCAGTAGCTGCAAAGGTGTGTTCTGTCTTGTCAGTTGTTGCTGCATGCAGCCTCTTGGCAGCCACCCTCATGTGCACTCTTGGCCACTTCTGACATATTTCATGAAATCATCCCTAAGTGGCAGCACACTTCAGATCCACAGCTTTTCAGTATGAGGTTATGGACTACATGACTCACACTTTGCACTGTCTGATAGCATTCTTTCTTGTAATACTGTATGTTTCAGTGTTAAAGCTAATCTAATACTCAGAATATAACAAAGGAAACTGAAAGAATTTAAATTTACCTTATACATCCACACAGACTCTTTACAATGATGATGGCATAGTTCTTCATGACAGCAAACCAGCTGTGAATCACTATGCATTGAAACTCTTTTGTCTTGAGCTGCCAGCAGCTGAAAAACTGCCCTGAACACTCCTAGCCTCCCTGACCCTATATTAAATTTTTAAATAAACATAGTTTTTGTGTTACATATGTACACTTTGCAGAGAGACCCTGTGAGGCAAGATGTTGATTGTAAATAGAATCTCATTTTCCCAGCTCTTTTAAAAAAGAAGATACCTTTGGTAGAAAACATTCTTCAGACCAGTAAAAGATTGCTGCTGACTGGTGCCAATGCATGGACCACTGGTTGGGAAACACTGACTTAAAAGACATACATGGCAAAGCCCTAAGCGTTTGTTACCGTGGTTCTTACTGGTTATTGTGCTTACTGAATTTTTAAGGAAAGTGATACACACTTACTTTGTTAACACTCATGTAAAAGCTTTCACTCCAGAAAATATAATTAGTAAAACTGAGAAGAATTGTGTCTTGTGGGACATAGTGCCATATAATCCATTGAAAATCAACCAACATTTTGGAGTAAAATTCAGATTGTGCTCTTTTGAGTTAGTTTTGTAGGTGGTCACCAGCCTTTTGAAAGAGCTGGAGACAGTAGTCTCCATCTCAAGGTATTCTGAATCTTCACTGCCATGAAATCCTCAGAGATCTAGGGGTGCGGAAACTGAGACTTTAAATGAATATCTGCACTATAATTTCCTCCCTTCACATGGGACTATCAACAGACAGATCACAGTTATGAAACTCAAAGAATTTTTGTATATAGTAGGAATTATATTTGATTGATATTAACCAAAATTAAATTTGCTTGACAGCTTTCAGTATAGGCTTCCGATACCATATCGAAAGCTTTTTAGTAGCTTGGAAGATGGAATATATATACATGACCTCTTTGTGCATTCATGTGCACAGAATACATATAAATTAAGCACATGTCAGAAGTGAATCTGAATACATTTTTGATCTCCCAATAAAGATAAGTATGAGGAGCGTTCCGTATATAATGCCTCATACTTTTTTTTAAAGAAAACTACAACAGATACAGAAAGCATAATAATGCAGTTAAATAGAGCAAGATTTCAGCTATTTACAGTTATTTTTCCACATAATCACCACCATTCGTTATGCGCTTTTGCCAGCGATGAACAAGAGCCTGTATGCCACGCCTGTAAAAGTCTGTGCCAGCAGAGGCTAGCCACTTTCTTACAGCTGCAATGACAGCATCATTGTCTGGAAAATGTTGCCCACGTAGTCCATCTTTCATAGGCCCAAAGAGATGGAAGTCTGAAGGTGCTAAACTGGGGCTATAAGGTGGATGTGGTAGGACAGTCCAGCCAAACTTTGCAATGTGCGCGGTGGTTGGTAAACTGGTATGGGGTCTAGTGTTGTCATGTTGAAAGCGAAATGTTGTCTGCTTCTCTGGCCTGACTCAGGAAATGCGGGCTTTCAGCTTAGTCATCGTCATCTTGTAGAATTCAGAATTGACAGTCTCACCAGGCTCCAGGAAATCCATGAAAATCACACCCCACCTATCCCAAAAGACCGTGCACATCACTTTCCCTGCCAATGGCTGTGTCTTGAACTTCTTTTTTCTTGGGGAATCCAGATGTCGCCACTCCATGGACTGTCTTTTGGATTCCGGCTCATAGTGGTGACACCATGTCTCATCTCCGATGACGATGCTGTCCAGAAACTTGTCACCTTCAGCCTCAAACTGGTGCAACAGGTCCTGACAAACTTCAATTCGATGAGTTTTGTGGTTCTGTGTAAGCATCCGTGGGACCCACCTGGAACAAACTTTGCAATAATCCAGCTTCCCCAACATCATTTCCAATGCATTACAGCTGATATTAAGCCGTGCACACAGTTCCCTGGTCATTATCTGCCGATCTGTACGGATGAGGCGCTTTTCATTGTGAGGAGTGGCATCTGAGCAGGGACGCCCAGGGCATGGCTTGTCATGCACTTCACTTTCGCCTCTGTTGAAACACACTACCCACCGCCTCACTGTGCTGACATCCACTGTATTGCCTCCGTACACCTTTAGCAAGTGTTGATGGATGTCAATAGGTACAATTTGTTCAGCAGTGAGAAATTCAATAACACATCTCTGGTTCATACGCACTTCTATATCAGACACCATTTTGGTAGACTGCTCTGCTGTCACTATCTGTCGCACAACAACCAAAGTAACAGTACATTGGCGGGAAGGGTTTATCTGGCTGAAGAAATTCACCTTTTTGCAGAAGACCTGTCCTCTTCTTATGACTGCTTAATAGTAGTGGCTAATAAAATATCCTAGCAGACAGTCATCATGACTATGCACCCAAAAGGTCTCTTGAATTTGCTGTATTGCTTTCTGGAGTGTTGTAGTGTTTGTAGGTCTTGTCACATTCATGTTTTCATTAGCACTGCAGATGTGTTTCATATGTTTTTGTGTACAGTTCTGGTCTGTCTTCATGTTTGCAGTTAGTTGTCACATCCATGTAGCATGGAATATGTCAGGTCTCATAATTTCATTCAAGCATGACAAAAATTCATTTCTGGAATTTACTGTTCATGTTTTGTACTTAATGGATCCCAGCACACAAATGCTGTGTCAAAGCTGACAATATGATCTGAACCCATGTCATGATTGAATGCTAGGATGTATTCAGTATTTCTTTTACTGTTTCAAATGGAATTTGATAGTGAAACTGATTTAAGTTGTGCATTTAAAGAGACTGGGTGTTGGTGTATAGTTCATAGTCTTGCTAAGAGCAGGGTGAATTGAATGGATTGTATGTGTAATAACGTTAATCAGTCTCAAAAAAGAATCTGAGATGTAAAGTTCAAGACAAAATTCTTTCAGTTTTAGTTCTAGTGACAGAGTCTCGCTGTTGGATGTGAAATTTAATTTTTATGATAAATGTTATACATTTAGGGAATACAAAGGAAAACTACTGTAGGGGGATAGTTTTTGTTCATTTTCAAAATTGAAAATAGGCAAAAAACCAGTGGTATGCTGTAGTAGAGTATATAACTTGTAACATTAATACAGCATGTATAAGATGAATAATCCATGAAACATTTAATGTATAAAGTGAGTTTTATCACTGGCTGTTGGATTGTATACATTGCTCTCTGGTCTGGTTTGTAAAGTGTTGTGTATTAGAAGCATCCTTTCTTTCAGTCAGTAATGATGTGCTAATTATTAATGTTTATGCTGTAGCTACATTACATTCCTTGTACCAGTTCACCTTTCAAGCTTACCTTTTCTAGGTAGGAGGGTTTGGACTACCCTTCTACACACTTGGGATCCTCATGGTAATCATCGTGCCCATCAACTTCTGTTTATTACCACCAGGCGATGGTGAGTTAATCTCTATTACCCTTTTAATCTTCCCTCACCTGTGAAAGACATTATAATATTTTGTAACAGGCTTGGTTTGTTTTATTTATTTATATATGATTCTGTATTTCAGCATCCCGTTGCAATTGTTCAAATTAGCGCCCATTGTTTATCTTCCGTCAAAATTGCAACACTTTTACATTCTACATTTTTACATTTTAACACGAATTAAAACAGTGTAGCAGTTTTTAACAGTTTTAGAAAAATATCTGTAACATAAAAACACCTGAAGATGGCCGAAACATGTAGTGTTGAAGTGTAGAATGTAAAAGTGTTGCAATTTTGATAGAAGATAAACAATGGATGGTAATTATTTATATATATATATATACAGTAAAACTTGGTTATAGCAACATCGGTTTCTGCGACACCTTGTCTATTGCGTCAATATTCAATGGTACGAACTAATTCCTCATAAAGCAACTGTTTTTATACCTTGCTTAGTACGACATGCACAAATGCATCAACCTCGTATGTAACGTCATTTTCATTCCTCAATTTCTCTGATATGGACATTGAACGTAATTTAGAAAGTGTGTATTGGGCAAGTAACAGGAAACAGATGAAGATAACTGATTACTGTACTCGTATCTAGGTACAGTAAGGCACAACAATTGATGTAATCTACTGTAATTTGGTGAGTAGTCCTACCTTTAATATACAGTATTAGTGCGGTGTGTATTGTCAGTGAAAAGCGCTGTAATATGTCTTTGATATTACACATTTGGGCAATTCCACGTTAATGTTACGTTAATCTGTACTTAACTACGTATTTCACTAAAAAATGCAACATTTTAACTCGGTTTTTGGTAGATTTTTACGTGACTAACATAAGGCTACTGTGGAAGTGCCCATTTCAGTTACGACGACATTCGTTTATATTCGACACTATTTTTAGGTCCCTTTGATGACGTTATAACCAAGTTATACTGTATATATATATTTATTTATTTACCAGACTATGAGGCAGTTTTCAGACTGTAGTCTGCATGCTGCTGGGAACAGGTTTTAGAAGAAGTTATATTCTTTTTACATGCACCATTGGAGGGAAATAATTACCTTTCTCTTTAGAAACTTTAATGACAGTGATTTTTACTAAATCAAGAATATGATAAAGAACTACTAAACAGCTTGCAAATTATGGTATTAATCCTAAGAAAACAGAATTATGTTGAAAGGTGATGTGAAGGTATTTGATAACTGTATTGGTATCATACAAAATTTCCAGATTTGGGACATGTTGAGTGTTTTACTTGATCTCTTGAGGGAATTCCAGGCAATGTTTGTGCATCTGCAGTGGGGAACAGCTTCACATCTATTATACTTCATGTGTAGTAATATTTCCTAATTCAAAGTAGGAGAATCCACCATATGCCTAGACCAGGGTACTCAAATTTGTTACTTTCTGAATTACTACTTATTAGTTTATGTTTCATGCTTATGAATAAACAACAGATGCAAAATATACTGTGTAATATTCTGCACTACTTAAGGATCTAATACTTGGAAGCAACTCTTTCATTTTTATTTCCATATTGCAATTCTATTTCTCCCAGTTAATACATAGTTATAAAATGGATCTTGTTATTTTTAGGAAAAAATAGTTTGTTTGATAAACATTGTGAGCTTCTCCAATTTTAATATCATGGTCTGAGACTGAACTGTCTTATAAGAACATTGTTAAGTATATGGCAGATACTTTAACGCTTCATTTAGTCGTAATTCTTATTTATACCAGCTATGAAATTGTACACATAAGTTTGGATCATGTATTTCTGCTGCTGGTGAACTAAATTTCCACTTGCAGATTGTTCACTTTCTTACCCACAGTTATGCATTGAATTTTACTGAATATTTTAGGTTAATATAGTTTTATTATGTTTTATTTGTTGGTTTGAGTCACACTACACTAGTCCTGATTGAAGGAGTTCCATCTATTGAAAAAAAAAGCATCATTATGAAGATTTCTTTTCATGAGGCTTTCTTTAAAAACATTTTATGTCTGATTTTTTCATTAATAGTATTTACATATTTCCCAACAAAAAGAAAACTGTCCTGTATTTAAATACCACATAAGCCTAATCATGAGGGATTTATGGTGCACAATGTAGTACAAGGGTGGGTTTTCTGTGTCACTTTTCATTCCACCAACTCATTACTGACAGCATCATGAAATGAACAGCTTAAAAAAATACAGTATGAACGATTTTAGTATCTCTTGGGAAATTCTGTGATTCAAGATTGCGTGAGATTTTATGATATACATTCTAAAATAGCACTAACAACTCTCAAAGCTCTATATAAAGAATTCAGATGTGGAAATAAAATTAAATGATTTCAGTATATAAAAATTAAAGCTGCAAGAGGAGTAGACAAGATTGGAAAACAGTGGGCATAACACGGATAAAAGTTTCAAAGCAGTTCATTATCCCCCAAATCTGCTATATGCAGAAAATAAAGTTATCTTCAGCAACAGCGGCCTCTGTAGTCTAGAGGTAACGTTCCCACCTCATGACTCGTGGTACGCGGGTTCAAATACCCGGCGGAGGTCGTCGAATTTTTAAGGGCGGAAAAATTCAGGGAACAAGTCCTCCGGGAGGGACTTTAAGCTGTGTGTCCCGTGTCATAACTTTACGGCACGTAAAAGAACCTCATATCCCCAAAGGGGATCACTGAGCCAAATTCCAGGACGTTTCCCGCCCAACANCTCTCTAAATAACTAACTAACTAACTACCTTCAGCAACTCTGAGGAGAAGCTGCAGGGGGCCTCACATAATCTCTTTAGAATTAGTTCATTATATGGAATGAAAATTTTAATATCCAGAATAGAATAAAGGGCAATGAATTACTGAGTGCTAAAACTGTGATTAACAGTAAGGTTATGGAGCAGGTTAAGACACTTAAATATCTAAGAAATACAGTATTAATTAATGGATGTATGGACTTGGAAAATAAGATTAATAATTTTAATAAGACAGATAGAAGAAATTTCAGTAGAAATATGTCACAGGACGTTTAGTTAAGATTTAATAAAATAACAACAAAACCTGTTTTGATGTTGAAATCTGAAATATAGCTTCTGAAAAGTAGGGCCAAGAGATCTGAGGCACAGAAAATCATTCTTCAGATAAATTGCGGGACATACATTAAAAGATGACATGTGCTGTGAAACAGTGAGATAGTTTAGCTAACTTAATAGAAGGTACTGAGAAATATGGAGGTAAATGGACAGGCCACGTGGACAAAATGATGGATGATGTACTGCCCAAGAGAGCAATAAAGCAGAACCTTGGGGAAGAAGAAGTACTGGGAGACTTGAAAGATGATGATATCAGCACTGACACTCAGAAGAGGCTCTAGAGGCCTAAACTGTGACAATACAGGAAGAAAATAAAAAGATGTATGGTTCTTAAAGAAAGCCTACAATTCATAAAATATAGCATGTCATTTGATGTCATTACTTTTGCTACTAATTTCTAGCACGCAACATGGAGCAGAAAAGTGGGTCATTGTTGGAGTTGATACAGGTCCCGTCAGTCATCATGATCAGTCTAGTGATTGTTGTCATTTCTAATATATGGGGCTTCCTTGATCCAACTCTAGAACCACATTTAAGAGAGGTAAGAAAGTGTCAAATGAACTTACTGTTTATAGATGTCCTGCAAGTTGTAGAAGTGCCTGGGGTTATAACTGGGCCAACCTGTTACTGTGAAACTCAAGTACAGAGACAAAGTTGTCCAGGTTGGGGGTTGGATGCAAGGCTGATCACCTTGCTCTGTAAAAAAAAATATTATTGTGGTGAAATCAAAAGAAGTGGAAACTAGATGATCTGATTCACAACTGAAAGACAAGTCTGGCAGAATTTCTAACAAAGGCTATGGCTCAACAAGGGCTGTTTTGCCAATGTTGATAATGAATTCTAGATGAAAACCAAGAGAAGATGTCACACATACCTCCATATTTTCGTAATTTATCATCATTAACTGTTGTATGCTACACATATTTTTGTGACGTGATCAAAATTCTTATTCATATTATTTGCTAGCTATTGCATGGATATTGACACCTTTCTTTTATTATGACAATTTTAATGGATATGTCTAAACTGATAAGTTATTATGTTAGACTACTGAGTGAAAATGTAAATACAATAAAGAAAAACAAAGAAACAGTATTAGACTCTAGTCACGGGTGTGGTTTAGACATAAGAGGAGAGAAATATTAGTATATAGGTATGTTCATGCCTTATCACAGACTGCAGGATAAAATTGTATAAAGACGGCTACTAAATCCTTTAAAAATATGACAATGTTAGAATATTACTGGGTGATCAAATCAAGGAAGATGAGAAATGCACAAAAGATTTAATTGGGAAACCTGAATGGAAGGGACCATTTAGGAGACCTAGGCATGCATTTAAAAATAATATATTATATTTAAGCATCATGTTGTACTATACACTTCTATATGTAATATGGACTATGGACTTCTATATGGACACAACACACCAGACAGTAGCGTATTAAAGATAAGCAGCAACACACACACAGGGAGCCTGCACAGAATAATATGTGAACGGTGCTGAAAATAAGAAATAGCAGCTGCAGCACACGTGGACACAGAGTGGGTATCCCTGTGATTTAAAACTTTAAATTTCGAATTTTAAAAGTTATAAAATTTTAATTTTTAATTAGAATTCTAAAATCAAATTGATGAGGGTGTGTTGGCAAGATTTTAAACAAAACTGACAGGCGGGTGTTTTAGATTTTAGATTGTGTGCAGTGTGATAGCTACGTAGTGAAAAATACACCTGATGATGGCCAGTTGCAGCCAAAACATGAAGTGTAGAGGAAAAAAAGACAAAGAACTAGAACCAAATAAATTGTTGCATTCATGACGGCATTTGTATTATTACATATTTAAAAATAATGTTAATAAAACAGAACATACAAGAATGGCCTGCTAGTGTATAGACTGGATTCAGCTGTCTCAGGATAGGCTCCAGTGGCCAGATCTTGTGAATGCAGTAAAGAAATTTAGGTTCTGTAAAAGGCAGGGAATTTCTTGACCAGGTAAGGGACTATATCACCTTCTCAGAAGGGCTCTGCTCGGTGTAGTCTATTTGTTAGACGCATTTCCACTAAACATAGAACGAAAATAGCTTAACACAAATTTCCTCATAAGTAATGAAATCAATAACAAAATGCACACAGTTGTAACATGAGCTGAGAAACCTCAGTTGGTATAGCTAAGGAATTGAGGTTCAATAACTGACAGGGACAAGAGATTTCTTTCTTCTCCCTAACTTCTAAACTGGCTCTGGGGTCCACCCAGCCTCATATACAATGGGCATCATGGGCTGTTTCCAGGGGAGTAAAGCTGACCACTCAGTCCCCTAAGTGCCAAGGTTAGGAACAGTGGATCTACACCTGCACTGCCTTATATGTCTTCATGGCATAATGCTTAATTAAGACTAGGGATAACTTTCACTTTACTTTATGCAGTTATAATACAAAAAACACGTCATACCATGAAATGTATGAATATATTCGTTTTTCTTTTAGTTCCAGTTGAGTCCCGAGCATGTTGGACTTATCTTCCTTCTGTTTTCTGCACTGTATGGCATATTCAGCCCAATATGGGGCTGGCTTGCTGATCACTGTAACAATCACTGGTCCATGATGGTATGGGGACTGCTCATCTGTACTGTTGGATTACTTCTGTTGGGTCCTTCACCTCTGATACCTTTCCTTACAAAGTAAGTTAACCAGAACCTCGGACATCCAGATATAAAGAACGCTTGAACAGGCCTGATGTAAGCAGTTAGTACTTATTGATATTCTGCTTATGCTCTCAGTCTCCACTTTAAAACCAAAAGTCTAAGTGCTCTATTTATTCATATAATTTCTCATGTTGTGCAGCTATAAATAGATGCAGAAACCATTACAGCCATTAGCAGAGAGAGATCACCACAGTATAATGAAACCAGAACATAAAAGTAACAACATAGAAGTGTAACCTTAAGATACAACAAAAAGAAATACCAAAGTATATATGAAATAATTTGTGAAATATATCAGACACAGGTCACATGTACTTGACAGACAGAATGACTAGAAAGGAGTAGCTTGAAATAGGATGAACAATCTCTATTCATGATAAGCAGTGACAAAATTAATAGTGACTAGAATAAATACACTCTTTGACATGAAGAAGGAAGAACTATATATGAAGTGTAAGGTGATAACATAATTGATGATGTAGCAGATTAGTAATAGAATGTTGTGTGAATACAATAAGTGTACTGGATATCCAGATATGCAGTTGTTACTACTGAATAATTTTAATTAGATATTACAATGATTGTAATTAAGACAGTTTTAAAGCCAAATGATTTAGGTATATTGTAACAGATGAATCAATTATACATGCACACATAGGAAATTAATATAAACAGTCTCAACACTGTCAGTGATGTTAAATAACCAACTTTAAAAATTATACTGACATTGATGGTGATCTAGTAGAGATCAAAATATGTTTCTGAAATGTGTATTGCACTGATAAGAGTATGATAAAAGGTTATTTGGTTGTATTTTGCAGGTATCATGTTCATTATGTTCTGATACTTGTGTCTTGATATTATACCAATGAGTCTGTTTCTTCAGTCATATTCTTTTTGCTACTAACCAATGGCACTTACTTGACATACGCATGACTCAGATACAGCCACCTGAAAGAGAGCAGCAGCTACATCACTTTCTTTCAGGGTTTGTGCCTTGGTCATAATTTTCATTGGTGCACTATACATTTACATTATGTAAATATGGGATTAATGGCACAAGTGTTGTAAGAGTAGAAGTTCATAAAGCAGGAAAATAGGCTTAATGAGTTATGCTTGGGACATTTTCTTTACCAAGGGGAAATATAAGGTGGGAATGTAGGATATTGCATGGAAAGATGAACTTCATGAGTTCTATAATTTACATAATGGTTGTTAGTAAGTTAAATCAAGAAAGACATATAGTTCCAATGACAGAAACAAGAAATGCATGAAGAGTTTCAGTGTGGAAGCCTCTTTGAATCTGGCTTGACAATGAGGTTAAAGATAATATTACACAAACTCAGATAAAATAGATCTGAGGATATGAACTGAAATGGAGTGGCCCAGATTGTGTCCAAGTGTTGGGCTTTGGCATTAGCAACATTCAGTCCATAGAGCTGTTATCATGTAGTAATTTAGCATCTTCTGCCATCCAGACTAGTGGAATTAATATAGTATTTAGTCTGATTGGTGTTTGTATCTTCAAGGGTACTGCACTGAGAATGAATGTATAAAGCTACACATATCTGCAGTATAATACAATTAAAGAAAAATTATAATAAAGCGCTTATGGAAAATTATTATTCATACATTCAACTAGTACCACAATAATGTTACAATTTAAAGCTGTTAATACTGTGAATCAGACAAAGTGCTGATCACTAAATACAGGGTGTTCCAGGAGGAATGTGCCAAACTTTGGGAGGGTGTTCCTTATGTTAAAGTATGCCGATATAACCCAAAACACCTATGTTCAAAGTTGAACGGTTACGGAGATAATAGCCCGAGAAAAGTGTGGTCCTCTGGCGAGTCCACGCACTGTACCTGTCAGCTGGCATGTCTTATCTGTGTTTGTCCTTGAGTGTGGTGATGGCAGCTCACGTTAGCCCCATACACTTGCATACCACAACACACAGTCAGCAATGTTATGTCAGCGCTTGGCATTCATGTGTCATGTATAGTGCTTGGAACTCTTAACGACAACTTTGACATGGCATGTGAGTTTTTTGTAGTTCAATTTAATGGCTTCATGTGACTCACAAGTTAGTTTGATGTTACGTACATTATTAACATTACAGAAACCACATATTCCTGCTAGTTTTAATATGTATTTGGTAATCAACAAGTGTGTAACACCTGTCAAAGTTTCACACTTCTCTGGCCATTATCTCCGTAACCGTTCAACTTTGGACATAGGTGTTTTGGGTTATATCGGCATACTTTAACATAAGGAACACCCTCCCGAAGTCTGGCACATTCCTCCTGGGACACTCTATATAGGTACTGATTAGATTCAAGAATTTTAAGTGGGTTTTGTTATGACTAAATAAGCTGTACATAAATTTCAATTTTGGTGAGTTATATGTTATATAGGGTGTCTACAATGAAACACCCTGATTTTACCACATTCTCAGAAAGTAAGGAATGGAGATATGGCCTAATTATTGACAAATATCAGTCACACAACATACAAAGTTTAATTTAAAAATCAATACACATCTATATGAGCACCATTGGTGATACATAGGATATCTAGTCTGTACTCAAATTCTGCCCAGGTCCACTGCAACATGTCCAGAGTGACCATACCAACAACTTCCACAATCCTGGCCTGGAGGTCTTGAAGGTCTCGCATTTTAGTGGTGTAAATCCTCTTCTTCATGTTGGACCATCTCGTCCTATCCAACAGCCTGGAAATATTACATTCAGAGCTCACCATATGTCTAGCGACTAGTGGGGTTGAGCTCTGTCTTGTTGAAATAAGACATTTGGCTGCAGATGTTCCAACTGAGGAAGGGCACAGAGCCGCAGCATGTTCAGGTATGAGCTACCTGTGACACTCTTCTCAAAGAAAAATGGTTCAATGATCATGATGCACAGGTCACCACACCAAATGTTCACATTTGGACTGTCTCACACATGTTCCATGAGGCTGTGCGGTTGCTGTGATCCCAATATCCAAACGTTATGCCTGTTTACAGCACCAGAGACATGAAAAGTAGCCTTTGTCGGAAAACATGATGTTTGTCAGGAAGTTGGTGTCTCTGCCGATGTGGTCAAGCATGTCATAGTCAAAACTGTGTTGCTGTGGGTTGTCCTCTGGTTTCAGCATAGAGACACAACTGCTTTTGGTGAAACTTATTCACAGTTGCTCATGGCATATGCAGTTCCCATGAAGCCAAATGAACTGACTTCCTTGGACTTCAGATGAACACCATATGGACGTTCTCTACCTTCTCATCGGAGACACAATGTTGGCCTCCATCGTGCCCTTGCAAGACACTCCCAGTCTCCAGAAACTTGTGCCATGCTCTAATTCTCTTTGTGTCTGGTGCTGCTTTCTGATAAACACAACAAAACTCAGTTTGTACCCTCACAATGGACTTAAACTCAGAGAACCACACAACAACTTTCATCTTCTCCTGAGCTGATGCCATCTTTGCATGAAATGCCAACAGTGCTCCAACGGTGGCCTTAAGGTAGCCTAAAAATTTAGGTGGGAATTTGAACTCCTGTAGTATGCAGGAGACCCTTAACACCTGAAGAAAACATTTGCCTATTTTTAAAACATCTTCAAAATCAGGGTATTTCATTGTAGACACCCTGTATTTTATAAATAGACTGCATGTACTGATTATCTGTAATAATTAATTTACTGGTTCTTGAACATTTTCAGCACAATTTGGTTGAATCTGGTTGCATTGTCAATTCTTGGAATCTCGGTAGCACTTGTACTCCTGCCAACATTCCAGGCTGTATTAGAGAGTGCAATGTAAGTACAGCATTTCATCAAGAAAAAAATATGGTGATACCTTTCAGAGAATTACAAGTACAAGTTATGATTTTTAAGCAATGTGATATTAAGTGTGTATGTGTGTCTGTATCACACAGATATTTTAATTTCTAAAATTTGAGTCTCAAATTAATATTTTGTGTATTTTTGTTGATTATTCAGTGAAGGAGGATGCAGCGATGATTTGTCAACATACAGCTTAGTAGCTGGAATTTGGTCTTGCATGTATTCACTGGGGTAAGTGTAATTTTGAACAGTTCCATTAGACTTGAATCTACATACTTAACATGTGAGCTGATAATATGCTCTTGTTGCAGGGAAGTGATAGGACCATCAGTAGGTGGAGTGTTATTAGAATACTATGGCTTTCCAATTTGTGCCACTGTCATGGCCTGTGTTACATTTGTGTTGGTAAGTTCATTATTAATTACTACCTTCTCTCATAATTTTTGATATGGAACAGTATAAAGTGACTTACTAATGGTATTTCTGAATGATTTACATAAGGGACCTATGAAATTTGTTGTTAGTATAGACAGGATAGAGAATTTCATGAGGGAAGTGTGCAGGGAAAGGAAAGGATATCTGTTAGGGTCTGTCATCAGCCATTTAAATGTAAAGTTTTCCCTGTACTTAATTAAGCATCATGCCATGTAGATGTATGGGGGACTGGAGGTATAGCTTCACCACTCTTGATCTCAGCACTAGATGGAGGTGAGTGGCCAGCTTCAACCCCAGGCTGCTTTATCACCAGGGACAGAGCCCCCAGTACCCACTGGATAGGATGCTTGGAGTAGAGAAAAAAAATTCTTGAGCCTGCCATGAATCAAACTCCCGCCATCCAGCCTGTAGCACATTGCTGTACCAACTGAACTGTCCCAGCTTCCTGTCATGAGTCATTTACAAGAATTACCTTTTACAAAACCCAAGAAGAAAAAGTCTAGTGGTGACATGTCTGGGGACCTTGGTTGGCAAATAATTAGTCCATGACAAATCCCGTTCCAGTGCAATTCTATCTGTGGTAAGTTCATGTTGAAATTCATTGAGCAAAATATTGTGGTTTGCTCAGACATGAATATTTCACAAGATATAGAGGGTAACCAATTTCCTGTTCTTTGCAGGGTTTTATTCAAATGCATGAAAATTTTTCGAGGTATGGAGAGTAATTAATTTCGTGGGTTTACTTTTATTACAGGCTGTGGTAACACTGGTGTTCTTTGTGTTGAAAGAGACCACAAGTCTAAGTCAAGGTGATGACAGCATTACTGATAGTGGTATCAGTGAATCTACAAGTTCTTGGGATCATGACAGGGAGAGGGAACATGATCGTGTGAATGGTTCAGACTGTCGAGAAGATAGTCCTCTGCTGGCCAGTGGGGGCACCGATTATGATCTCTACACCAGGGAGAAAGTTGATTATTATGAGACCCTTGTCCATGAGGAAGGGGATAGAGATCCAAATAGATTGCTGGATGTGAGGCGGGTTGTAGCCATTACAGGAAGTGGTGCCTGTGAAGTTTAGGTTGTATCTGAGAAGGTATATTCCCTGAATACTGAAAACTTCTGTATTCTTACCGAAAGAGGAGGAGATTATCATATTATATTGAGACAATTACTGTAACAGTAATTCCATCTATACTGTCTGAAATGAAACCACACTAAATCTAAATTGCAGTTTGTGGAATGATAAAATAGTTTTATAATGGCTGTCTAAATTAAATTGTTTTTTGTTTCTCTCCTGTTCACAGCCTAATTTTAACATGGCTTATTCATGAAAGCTGCATTATATACTCGTATATACACCAAATGTCTGATTAAGTACCAATACTTTGGCTTGAGTTGTAGGCAGATGCTAGTACTGATATTCGACCAGTATGGAACAAATTTTAAATCAGTAATTTTCGTTCTCTTTTTCATAACATGATTGAAGTATACAAGGTTATTCAACATTTTAGAATTCTACTATTTTATTATAATGTTTGGGGAATAAATAGTAACTGTCACTCTAATTATAACAAGAAATTATAAATATTAGCCCAGTTCAATATTGAGATCCCCCACGAAAAAGAGTTGTGGGCTGGCTGTCCGAAAGATGAAAAGACCAATTCAGATTAAATGAACCTAAACCCAAAACAGATCAACTGTTATAACCCATGAAGATGATGAAAAATAAATTAAACGGTCATGCCTAAAGTTCCAAGAATGAAGATGAACACCTTATGTCAATATCAGGTTGGCCTCACTGCCTGCACAGTTTTGTTATTATAAAATAATATAGGGCATTAAAAATCAGCAGTAAAAATATTAAGCCTGTTAAACCTAATGCAAGTACATCATGAGATATAATTGACATTACAGCACCTTGACTATCCATTTCAGAAGCACAGGGAGATGCTTGTATCACAGATCTAAGTCATATAATGCCTATGTTTTGTATATGTGTGCTTATTTACCCTTAAATTTGTGGTTATTTCAAACTTATGTCAGCGGGAGTGTTAATCTTGTATTCCACAGAGACATAACTGATGTGATTTTAAATATATCTTCTTATGGTATAAGGCAATCAACACAGTAAGCCTAATCATGTATATTTATTTTTAAAATACTCATGCTAAATAGCAGTAAATAGATCTGAAATGGATTAGTATAGGAACTAGTCACAACTAATCATTTACAGTACTAAAATAAAAGATGGAAGAATTGAATTAATGGAAAAAGATAAAGAAGCATAAAAACTATGAATTTAAGTAAGTATTTGTTCAGGCATAAAAATGAAAATAATACTGTATTGTAGCATCCTGTTGCACTCTTCTATTTTACTGTAAATCTTATTTACTATCTTATGTGCAACTGTTTATTAACTTAAAGTCTTCGCGAAGAACCCAGCAGGAAGAAGCACGATGCTATAACTACAACACATGTGCACATCTCAGGGATCTACACATGTAATAGTAACAACAGAAAGCAGCAGTTTCCCCATTAGATGTATATTTTAACACCTGATGATGGCCATATTGGCTGAAACATGTCATGACTCTTAAATTAAAACTTAAATAAGTTAATAAACAGTTGCACATAAGACTGTAAATAAGATTTATAATAAAAATGGATGATAATACTGATTTAAATGCCTGACTGTTAGTATAGTGAACATTCTTGGTGCCTGTAGTTCTTTCCTGTAAAAACTTATGAAAATGTACTTTTCTAAGAGTGGATATTTCAAGTACAGTAGCTTAATTATTCACTGCCATTAAGTAAGACTTTCTTTTGTCAACAGTATATGTAATTTAGATGGACAGTAACTATATTTCATGTGTGTAAAATGATCAGTTTTCCTGCATGTCATCAAATTCATTTATCTGTTGAGTCTCAGTGCTCTGATTAAAGAATCATAATTACATCTAGATATAATGATAATACTATGATTAAATAATGTGTAACATTAAACTGAAACAAATGAGTGAATCAGGATGTAGCAGGATATTTTAGTTATTAATTGGTATGTTTACTGGTCATGTTGCATAAATATATTTTGTTTTTATATTATATATGTAAATGTTGGAAAATGTTTCAGGGTACTTTAATGTTATAGAATTTGTGGTAATGTGAAGTGGAAGGTAAAATATGTGTATTTTATTTCAGACATCTGTGAATGAACAAATATGAGGGTTGTCAGTTATCAACTGGATAATAACCAGAGGTAATGAATGTTGAGTTACAATGGCAACAGAGAAAGAAGACTGAAATCAGCTATACAGGGTGAGAAATGGAAAGTGATTTAATTGCCAGAAACAACAAAAGAGTATTATTATTACATTGTCTATTGGAAGACAGAGTAACTCAAAAGACCAGGTACCCAGGCACCTCCAGATTTCATTGCTGCTATTGTTGGGACGTGCTGGTTCTCAGTTTTTAGTTTATAGGACAGTGCCACTCTAATTTTATACTTTTATTTTATAATGTATTAAAAATGTGAGAAATACGAATAGTCATATATATTTACTAGCCCTTCAAAACTTAATTTCTTTCAGTTTTCATGAATAAGAAAAATGTGCCATTTTTAACACTTTGAGCCCAGAGGACTCAATAGCCTTATGGTCAAATAAAAGTTCTAAATATCTATCAATTGTTGGCACTGAGTGAACATAATATGTATTTGTAGAATACTGAAGTACATAACTCTTGCATTATATGTATAATTATGAATTCAGGCAGGATATCTTAAATTCTGATTGATCTCAGTGTGTCAAAACCACATTAGACTGAATCTTGAATGGGTTCAACTCAACGTTCTCATATTATGTATGTTTATTTACAATAAATAGAAATGATAAAGATTTACACTAGGTATCCCAAAACTTGCATTTCAGTCAAAATTATATATGTATGTGTTTCCTTTAAATCATGCAGTTACAGTTATTTTTCTCTTCTCTGTGTGAGAAATTAAAAACCAAATAAAGGGCTGTAATATTGGTAAATCTCTGGAATGTGTCAAACTTTTGCGAGCCATAGTTAGCTCACTCCCTTAGGTAAAACATTACCAGCATAGAAGGGAATAAAGATTTATGCAAGTGAAGAGAAACAGGAAAATTTATGAAATCAGCATCTTCATTTATATTAGACTGTGGATAGCACACACAATGGACAAAGTCCAGTCCCTTCAGGCAGAAAAGGTATTGGGTTAATTTTAAAATTGCATATATGGTCATGTGTTCATGGCTCCATGACTAATAATGGGTTTTTGGATTGGATTTATTTATGCCTTCTTTACAGTCTCTCTTTTAATCTTAATCAGTTACAACAGTTAACAATCAACAACTGCCTAAGACTTGCTCACTCCATTCTGGCTGGACTATGACTGTCTTCTCTTATAGTGTGACTGACTTGATTCTGATTTACAAATCACTCCCTTCTAAGTCACGAATGAATTCTGAATGATGAATCACAAATGAATCATTAAATGAATGCGTTCTTGTCTGCACAGCCACTTATATGATCTAGCTGTAACCTGGGAAAGTGTTTATTGCTTGTTCGTTTACATGGAAACCTTTGTTGAATGTTCATTTACACGGAAATGTGTTTTGTACTGAGTTGTTTCCTAGAAACGGCCTACATGTCACATTGATCCCTCCTTAAGGCTGTTCATCTTGAATAGCCTAGAGGTGTACCGCCTTTTCTTCTTCCAAGGGCTGCGCTTGGTTTCATCTTCTTGTGGCTTGATTTTTTCTGCGGTGGCTTCTCTCGCACTGCTCCCTGCTTAAGGCCACTTGCCCTGAGTGGCTCCCTGATAAGGTTCGAGTCAGTCCACATGTACCACCATCATCCACTTTTTTCTGTCCAAACGGTGGGGACAGAACTATCCAGAGTGGCTGGTGCTCCTATATTTCTGGCTCCTCTTACGCTAACAATGCCAGTAGGCTCTTTTTCTGTTTCAGAGGGAGCCGGCCCCTCCATAGTGTCCAATCCCTGATCTTTCATAACCCAACAGAATATTTGGATGCTGGCCTGGCGATCTCCAATCCAAAGGTCTCCCCAAAGATTTGTTCAGCTGCCGCCTTGTGCCTTAGTCCTTAATCCCACTTTTGCATTCTGGATTTGGCTGATGTCTCTTCCCAAGCTCCTGTCCTTTTGGGGTTCTTGTACCATCTTGTCCCTAGTCCGATTTTTCCCAACGATGTTTCCCTTGCACCATACCACTCCTGACAGTGGGTCATCTTAATGTGTGTGGCGCCCAATTTCTTGTGGAATCCACAGTTTCCCCAGGTCCTTTCCTCCAGCTGACAGCGGCGCCCCACGGCTATATGCCGGTCCCTGTGCTGCTTATTCAGCCCTCTGCCAGCTTCCACTGCAGCATCTTCCTTAGGGACCTCCTGATCATCCCCTCCAGATTGAGTTTCTTCCGGATTTGTCTCCAAATCCATGGCCACTGTCTTTTCTAGACAGGCCATCATCCTGGCATGATGGGCATCCATCTTGGAGATGGGGGAAGCCATCTGGGCTTTCATCTCCTCTTGATGTCTATTCATTGTGGCTTCCATCCTACCAGCAAATCTTCTTTCATGTGTTCTTGGCTGGTTATTATTTCAGGTAGCAAGCATGTCATCATTCGTTCTGTCTCCATAATGTGGTGATATGACTATATGATGCAATCTTCAGTCCAATGCAGTTTCCAATCCTACCACTTCAGACACCAAAATATCGTGTGTTTATGGCTGTGTCACTAATGATGTGGCAGTATAACTTCTTCTGCAGTCTTCAATCCAATAATTTGATCCACTCTAACCATTTCTTACACCAGTTGTCAAGTGTATATTGCTCCATGACCAGAATGCATTCAATCATACGTGAGGATTGGTTCATACATGAGAAGTCATTCATAACAGAAACCAGGTTAGAAGAGAAAACAGTTGTAGTCCAGCCAGAATGGAGTGAGTCTTAGGCAGTCATTGATTGTGAGCTGTTATAGCTGATTGTGATCAAGAGTGATGGTAAAATGTGTCAATAAATCCAATCATCCAATCCAGAACCCATTATTATTAGTCATGGAGCCATAAACACATGACAGTATGTTGTATTTAGACTGGTGGACTGAAATTTATCTATACTTTCTAAAATATCAGAACCTTTAGTTTGTGTTAATCATTTAGATATAGGGTACCTGGACAACAAATGCAAGGTGTGAAGTTTAGTGGGACATAAGTTGGCCTAGTAACATTGTCCTCACATTAACTGTTTAGCTCATTTTACTGAAATCTTTCTCTGTATATTTGTTCAATATGTCAATCACTGTCCATGTGACCTGTACGGTAGCTCAATTAAACATTATGAAATGTGTGATTATTACTGTTATGTACATAAGTACAGGAGACATACATGTTTAAAATATAATGAAGGACTGTTACTATTTATAATGTATTCGCTTATATTCTTCCAAGGGCATTAGATGTCTTAGAGGCTCTATTCTAAATGAAAAGCGTTTTTGAATATTGTGAATAGTGCACTAGTTAGTTCTGCAGTCAATACAGTGACTTTTATAGTCTGTGCTTTGCTTAAGTGTGTTGGTGAATGTGTGGTTCACCAGGCACCTACTGTTTACAATATAAATCCTATTACTACAAAGTTAAAATCTGGCCAACAGTGTTATAGTGGAGGGAAATATAAATTCCCCATTCCAAATGATGGTTAGACCATTTGCTTTCCATTTGACACTAAAGTTAGAAACTTGTTTCATTTATGGCATTAGTTCCCAAACTTTTATCGCTTTATGAACCCCTTCCCTGAGGAATGAAAACATGCAAACTTCCATCCATAATACTTTTTAGATTTTTCTGTATATATGCCATTTCTTTCTTTCCTGGCTCACCCCCAGTCAGCTAAATTTGACCACATAATTGAAACAGGCTGCAAGAAATAATAATATTTTAACAAAAAGATAATCACCGCGGTCTGTATATTATGTTTTGTGAATTCACTTCAGCTTATACTGATGCACAAACATTTTGCTGTTACTACCGTTATATAGCAAATTCTCCAAGGTAAGGATGAGTTATTAGGCTACAGACCAGACAATCACATTTCTATTCCTGGTAGGAGCTGAAATTTTTCTCTTCACCATCACATTCAGGCTGACTGTGGGGCTGATCCAGCCTCATGCAATCACTACCTGGGGCTCTATCCCCAACATCAAAGCAGCCAGAGCATGAAGCTGATCATTCACCTCTCTCTAGAGCCGAGGTTCAGCTTTATGCTGCAGCTGTTTTATCCCCGAGAAAAGAGACCCTAGTATACATTGCCTCAGGGGCTAAGTAAATCTCTGCTGGCTTCATGATCCTGGCTTTCAGCAGACATGCCACAATATTATAACATTAAATTATATTATACAGAGTGCCTATTATCATATGTAGAGTATTTTCATATATTTTAAACCTGTGTCTGATACAAATATTCAAATTACTTTTTGGCAAAACAGAGTAAACCATACATATAGTAAAATTAAAAAAAAACCTAACAATTTGAACTTTGTACCCTGTGTCATGTGAGTTATAGCAGTTAAAGCCCACAGAGATGTATTGTACTAAAGTACACACACAGATCTTTGTTATAACATTTAATTATAGAGACTGTACTGTATATAGAAACGTGGTGCATTATACAGTGCTCTTGTGTAAGCTGGCTGTGTTAAATTAGAATAATGACCGACCACAGTGAATCCCTATTTTAGGTTTCTTTGGGGACCAGTGGATTTGAACAATAAAATTAGGAATATCTTAAATTAAGGTAACTAAAAATGAGATTATTAACCTGGGATCATTGGAACCGAATGTTATACAAGGGAAACCCTTGTAATGTTAATACAAGTTCCACTGTGTTGTCTAGTCATTTGCTGGATATAACACATACTCATAATTTCACAAATTTAATGTTTAATCACTGATCACAGGTAGTCAGCAGAATTTCCTTTGCAATTTGTATGACTGCTGGATCATGACACTTTGTGTATCACACTTTTTCAAATTAAAAATAAGACCAACCAGAAGTCTAATTGTATTTTCCGCACAAGTTATCGAGTTTTCAGATTATGGTTACGCCATTACATGAATGTAAACCCCAGAATCAGCAAGGTCTGACTATATGGTTCTTGAGTATGAGTTGTATGATTTTTTTCACAAAGTAAATATGAAAACACCATATAGTCATGTAATAACTGAAAAACAGCCATAGATTTATAAAATTCATGATAATTAATAATTTCATAATAAATCCCCCTTACATCTTTTCAAAGTTTACAACTTGTAATACTTTTACTACATAAAAATTACAGTCAGATGGGATAAGAAAACTCTTGCATCAGGACTGACATATAATGGTTGGACATTAATATGGTCTTCATTTCTGTTATAAAAACATCATCAATTTTATACAAGAGGCTGACGTGCTGTTCAGAGTGAGACAAATGTGCATGCTGTTATCTTAGTTATGTACTTGTTTTTGGTCACAAAAGTGAGTATTCTCATAGAGTATGTATGTACTGAATTAGTACTGCACGTAACTTAGACGCATGTGCAGTTCTTTATTTTAAAATATGTTTTGTGACTCTCCTTGCAGTGATACTTATGTAAAATATGTCAAGACATGAATTACAGTCAATCATTCATTGTAGTATGTTAGTCTTGTGGATGAATGTGTGTCACAGGTTCTATTGACCATTTCTCAGTGATCCACTCCCCCATACTTCTTCATAATATAGTGCTTACTTAGTTAAGCACAGGGACTGCTTCACCTTCACTCATTTCATATCATAGATCTCTAATATTATTATGCATTCACTAACATATTCAATATGACATGATATTAAACATTAGTAGTACATCTTCACTTTGGAGCCTAAATTTTCCATAGATAAATATGTTCTAAGAGATTGTATTCCATATGTATTATTGGAAGAAGAATATGTTTATGGCTTTTTTTTAGAAGACTTCTTGAAGAGTTCTGTGCACTGAAATATAACACTATGTAGTCTGATGAAAGTCAACCAACATTCTGGATCTTTAGGATTGAAGCATAAGTTACGCAAGAAACCAGCATTAAGCAAGCAACAAGTACAACCCAGTATGCTGCCTCCTTCATGCTGGTTTCTTGCTTAGCATAATTTTGACACTGAAGAAGGAGACATGTTCCTCTGAAACATTAGCTGGTGTTCACCAAACTAGACGGTACCGTATCTGTGAGGACAGAACTTTTCATAGCCACTGCTGTGAGAGCCTTAAATCCAAAAATACAGAATTGTTGATTTAATAATATTAACAAATTTAGACAATGTTCAGCAAAATTTTACATCTAGTATTTTGCTAGACAAGCCGAATTTAACGTTTCATACTATTTCCTCTTTGTACACAAATCATTAGTGGGGTGAATTTAAAATAAGGAGTTATAACCTTTAACTGCTTTGTGGCCCAGAGTTTTCCTATATGTAATATGTAAATGCTATATTCTGAATGTTAATTTCAAACATAAATTAAGTTTCAGTGCAAAGATGGTGCTTTATTATTGACACAAATTATTGTTACATTAGATCTGTCAACATTAATTTTTACTTTATTGCCCTGTTAGGTGGACTTTGCTTACTGACTTACTGTGACTTATGCATGTACAACTTCTGAAGTGATAGACACAGAATGATTCAGAGTCTTCTGGCCAGGCTTCAGGCGGTTGTTGGGAGGATACTTTTGAACAAAAAACGAACTGATTGTTGTTTAATTCATCACACTTGTCGACTTACGATGTTTCACCATTCATGTGTATATTCAGTTACTTACATTAAATATTTTTAAAAGTTCCGAAGTTTAACAGCTGCCTTATCTTGAAATTTACATTATGTTGAACACAAATGCCAGCTTGTATGGTGGGGATTACCACATGGCCACAGGACTTTGAATCACCATGTATGCACAAGCACACACACACATACACACCTGTACGTAAAGTAGGATTTCTTCAATTAAAACATAAACATTACATCATGGATAAAATAGTAAATTAATGTTTGTGTTCCAAAGTAATAGGTCGCTCGGTTGGTATAGTTTGCTTGCAGACTAAAGCCACGAAGTTTGTGTTTGTTCCAAAGTAATGACACATAATTTTCATGGTGATATGAGGTTGAATGCTTCAGATAGACTTCCCTACAAAATGTAAAGAACATTTGACTATGTAACATGTTCCTTTGAAAAATAAAACACTAACTGATACTGATCTACAGCAGCAATGGCATTACCAGTGTTCAAGGGTGGCACAAGTCTAAGTTCCATCCTGGGTGATGAGAAAATCTGCTAGCCCCCAAAATTAAAAACCAGTTAATTTTTTTCTTCATAATTAATAAAAAGATTTCCAGACAATGTGACAAGACTGTCATTAGCGTCAGAAAATATTTATATCGGGGCATAACATGTTTAAATGTCTTCCAGTTAATGGTGACAATATGAACAAAATTCAGCAGGAATTTTCATGTAACAAATATGAGGAAAAGGGAAGTGTGCTTTTGCATGTGGCTGCTTGGTTTGCCTGTGCTGTCACACAGGTCTTGTCAGCCTTAATAAAAAAAAATTGTAACCATATTGTGAAACTGCTTAGTACTTGGGCTCTGTTATAAAATGGAAATTTTTGGTTTAGACACAGGTAATTTTAATTGGTCACTATACCAGCTATCAATAAATACTACACAGAAACTCATTATAGTAACAAACAGTTCATAAAAACTAGATGAAATTGTTGGTGACAATCCCTAGGAGATTGTCTGAAATGTTGAATACCTCTGGCAGGAGTCATATATGAATGACCTTTACAATTCCACTGTCTTATTACATAGCATATGTTTACGGTATTATTACAAAATTAAAGACGTCTTAAGATTCAGCTTCAAAGTTTTATCATAGTTGGTGAAGCTCTATGTGAGCACAACAAATTACTTGGGCAATATCAAATTGATACAGTATATCATGCCACAACTTTGCAAGAGTGCTGCGGTCAGCTTTTGCAAACATCTCCATGATGTTGTCTTGACCTATTCCATCACTCTCAGCAAAATAGGAATGTAGACCTATCCCTCAAAGGAATCTCATGGGGTGAGATCTGGTTGGCCATTATGTAGAGCAGGGATCTCCAAACTTTTCGAATCGCGGGCCACAGTAGGTAATTCAGCACTTTGAACGGGCCGGATGAAGTGAGAAATTAATAACTCTAGGTATATGAGTTTTATTGAAAGCACAGAATTTCATAAACTAAATACAAAGCACGTGAGAATAAATTATCGTATATTAATGACAACAGACAGTAGCAACAAATGCTCATATTTTCATCACAAATTATAATAAAACAATGAATATGAATGATGGAACTCTTTTTGCATTCTTAAAATCGGATTAAATTGAGGTTCAAATTTTGAAACGCTAATCACAAGTATCGACTTTAAATGTTCATTGGATAAATTTGCCCTGTATTTCAACTTGATGTACTTCATCGGGAAAAAGTTTGTTCACACAGATATGTCATCCCAAAAATGGAGATAAATTTACAAGCAAATTTCTTTAAATTTGGAAATTGCTCTGAGTTCAGAAATTTATAAAACTCGATCAAATTTCCTTCCTTGTATTTCTCTCTAATATTATAATTTTCCTTAAGTTCAATAATTTCCATCTGAATTTGACTTGGGACATCTGCAGCATCACAGTCAAACAGATTTTGAAACAATTTAATTTCCCGAGCACTGGAATCCAAATCATCAATTCACTTCTGAAATTGTTCATTCAAATCTGAAATGACTAAATTTGCAAACGAGGAAGGAAATTCTGCTTCACCCTTTTTTGTGCAACTCTGCACAATATAGCATATGAACAAAGTTACAATTTTTCACTTGGCTTTCCAGAAGTATCAACTTTGCTCTGAATGCCTTGATAAGTGCAAATAAATCACAGACTAAGTTATTTTCACCCTGCAACTTTAAATTCAAATGGTTCATATGGTTCACCAGATCAGCAAAAAATGCTAATTTCCAAAGCCCCTCGGTATCTGATAAAAGTGGTTCATGATGGTTTTTCTCGGTAAGCAATATATCAATTTCATTCCTGAGCTGAAAGAAGCGTGAAAGAACCTTTCCACAGCTAAGCCATCGAACTGCAGTATAATATGTCAGGTCAATAAGCTTGGAAACACATTTACCAGTACTCATTGGAAAATTAGTTCAGTTGGCTCATTTCTGCACAGTTCTTTCGCAGGCCGTAGTTTGGAGACCCTTGATGTAGAGTCTCCACACTCAGTCCATTTTGAATGTCACCCTCCAGTTAATTTCATCAACAAATTCTTTACTTTGAAGAAAGTTTGCATACACTGTTTCATTTACACACAACCAGCTGTTCACAGATAATACATGTCAGCCAAGAAATGATGATTTACTAAATGGATCCCTTTCATATTGTCAAAATTGTTACTGCTACAAGAATTGGTAAACTAGCTTACATACAAAATTCTTTCTCTAGTCAGAAATTATCTTGTGATACTGCTCACTACAGCTCTACCAGCTCCAGAATATGAGGAAGTGCAAACTATGTACGATTTAAGGTTCTCATGGTGGTTACTGAAAGTTCTGTCTTCTTCTGGTATATAATGCCATGAAATCCACTAAAAGTCAACTGAAGTTTCAGAGGAACACTGAGCCTCCATCTTCAAGGTCAAAGAATATGTCAAGCAAGAAACCAGCATTAATCAGAAAGCAAGCAGAGCAGAGCATGTTCATTGGAAAAGTCAGTTAACTTTAAACAGACTAAACCATGTTTTATACCCCAGAAGGTAGAACTCTCACTGCAAACTAGATGGTGCAGTAACTTTCTGTCAAAGGTCATCATTTTGAACATTTACATGCTGTAATATTACTTCTGTAGCTATATACATGAATATTTCAGAGTTCTTGTATGATTTTGAACATTTATGTATATTTGGAGGATCTCCAGTGCTGTGATAATTTTGAATATGATGTAGCATTATCTAACAAGTATTGTATTGACTAAAATCAGATACACTATGAATTTTGTTGAAATATCTCCCTCTGTTGAGTACCATTTCAATATTAAGAGATTGTGTTTTTATTTACGATTTATTTGGCATGATAAATACAATGTAAATACATCATTATGTTTATGTATTAAAGAGTCACAAATATACAGGAAGGCTGCAATTACATGTAAACTGTATGGTTGTCACAATAGTTGTACACTTAGTTTATATAGTTATATTGAAGAACAAGGAAAATAGTGATAAATCATACTAAATATATACCTTACGTTGTTGAATACTTTGCATTTCTCTTACCTCGTCTCCATTATATCCTCCGACTGGAAAACATTATCCGAGGTTTTAGTTTCTGTGAAGCCTAATTGTTATCAAAACCCGAATCACATTCCCAAATTTTACAACGTTGTTTATGGGGCACATGGTACAAGCTGAGACGACATAAATGAACGCAAATCGTCCAAATACTGAACTTCCTCACCCTTGAGCCCTTGAGGCCCTTCAGGTATATGTGCTTTGCGCGCACGCGCAGTTGGGGACCATATTTTTAGGACGGCACATACCGCATTTTAACGGCTTCGGGGTGGAAATTTTTGTGATGATGCTGCATTTTAATTAGATGTTATCCCAAATTATGGCAATGAAAGGGAAACACTTAAGCTAGAATGCGAATCTTTAAGTATGTAGACCTGTGAGCTTTGCACTCGTCGAAGAACGGAACAGAAATCTCTATGGATTGACGTCTTCAACATGGTCCCACATTTTGAAAAATAAAAACAAAATCCGAACGATTAGAACAGTTAAAGTGTGGTAGAGGCAGTGGAAGTCTGTTCACACGGAAGCAAATGCACGCATTGCCGAGAACGAAGATTTGGAATCGGCGGTTTCGAGTAATTATGCCGCCATACTGGATTATGGACCACTGATCAAGACAAAATCCGACCATTTCTCAGCATATTTGAAGACTGATTTTTTTTTGTGTCGGAAGGGTGGCTTTACTGTTTGGGGACCAAGGGAAGGGCACTAGGCACTAATATGTACAAGTGTTGGGAAACTGTGCTGCGTTTAGAACCGGTTAGTGATGTGATACACTTACGTTCCCGAGCACAGGAAGTTATATAAGAATATAATCACGCAGGTCTTCTCGCATAGTGCCCGTTCTTGTCTGGTTTTGACCAGAATTGTAATATGTTGAGAAATTACTGTTCAACGTACATATTTCAAATGCCATTAAAATCCGCCCAACTTATTACAAGTTACTTATGGAGGACAGACATGAACTGCATTTCTGCAGTTGTCTCGTTGCCAAATCGCCAGAGAAGAATGTAAATATTCTAGTACGTTATTCCTCTAGGGCGAGGGCACACCAATGAAATTGGCAACCGCAACACAATTGCAATTTCCGAGAAATTTTGCCGATTTCATGCAGGCGTTTTCCAGATTAGCAGGCGCACACTGAATAAACTTATATTTGGTTAGTTGCTCACATGAACTTACGTGGGTATGTTCGTCCGACGTAATGTATGATTGTATTTTTTTTAATTCCGTGTACTTACCTTCTGCAATGGAAGATAATACTGATCCTGTCACAATATGGTGGTAGTTGAGACCGGTTGAGACGGCGTGAAAAGAGGACGACCATAAGGAAAATATTGGGATGATAATTTGTTTTCATTAAGGCAAATTTATTTTAATCAGGCAATATCACGTACTAAATTTTGACATACAGTGCAACTATAAAGTCGAAGCACGTAATGTGGAAGAAGGTTGACGACTTTAGGGCATAACTGCAGGAGGTGATTTCCTAGGTCTCTGTGATCAAAAAAGTTCATATAAACATGTGTCCGATTTTGGACGGTTACGGAGTTATGACCGCTTTAAACTCAGAATAGAAGGTAACGATTACTGACAATAAACGGAACAAAATAATAAACCAGCATAATACATGATACATTTAACGTATGAATGTAAAGTTAACTTCGTGCAATTACCTTTAATTTGAATTTATTGGTGCTTAAAGCTGATTTTCGAAAATGCCACCGCCGGCCGCAACACAGGCTGCCGCTCGGTTGTGAACCGCGCCGGACATACCAACCCTCCCCGCCTTAGGTACATCTCAAGTGTCGAGATAACGAGAACGCTATGTCTGTAGCTGGCTAAAAATAGCAACCCGCCAGAGGACAGACGCGGTTCACACGAGGGCGTGTACGGGAATGAAAAAACGGTCGTAACTCCGTAACTGTCCAAAATCGGACACATGTTTATATGAACTTTTTTGATCACAAAGACCTAAGAAATCACCTCCTGCAGTTATGCCCTAAAGTCGTGAAACACCCTGTATAATATAGTGTATTTAAGACGGAAATATATGTGAAATAAATTATATATTAATGCAACAGGATGTTTACATACAATATTAGGAGAACACTGGCTGCACCCATTCTTCTGTAACTATTTAAACTGAGGCGCGTATATTGTTTCAAAAGAACTTAACCTGGATCCAGACTCCTTCGTCTCATGAGAAATTCCTTCCCCAAGTCAAATCTACATATTTTGTTCCGCCTAGCAAGCATAGCCTTGGTGGTGTTTGTCACATACACCATGCTGTTCAATTAACTACACAAAAACAAAATTAGCAGCTTCATCAACCTTTTGTGCCACCTTAACAAACAAATGAATCGCTGAGGTGCGTTACAGAACAGCTGAGAGTAGGAAACCATGCGGCAACGCAATTGTGAGAAGAATGGCATTCTCCGTTGCCTGGAAATTGAGTTTCTCAGTCTCTCCTAGAGTTGTGTTGCCGTCTGCTCAATTTGCATTGCTCCATTCACTATGTTCAACTTAGGCTGATAACAATTCTCGGAAATCGCGGTTGCCAGCTTCCTTGTTCTGCTCTCGGCCTTAGAACCATGCTGTTATATACATAATTAGACGTCAAGGCCGCGCCATAGCTCAAGCGGTTAGTCGCTGCTTCCCACCACGGTGGCCCAGGTTTGGTCAAGTGGGATTTGTGGTGGACAAAGTGGCACTGGGGTAGGTTTTCTCCGAGTACTTCGGTTTCCCCTGCCAATCTTCATTCTACCAATTGCTCCACAATCACCCTCACCTATCATCTGGGGCTGGTACAATATGCCAGAAGTGGCCGCAGTACAAGCAACTTAGTCCCACACCACTAGCAATAAAAAAAAATAGACATCAGAAGGAGGACTTCAAAATTACATATTTCGATCATATACGGATGAGTACCCGATATAACGAGCACTCTTATTTATTCCCATTATGTCGAAGTTGCACTGTATTTTTATATTAATATAAACAAAACGTAACATATTAATTCATTTGCATTAATGTAGTTCTGTTTATTGAAGATTATACAAGTATACTTGTAGCTAATCTTGAGATTATTTGAGGTAATCATTCTACCGTTTAAACAGTAGTGCTTCAGAATATTTCATGATTACACATAGAAATTGTTACTGTTAACAGGGTGTGGAAATATGTATACTTTTCTTCAGACTCAAATGTATTCATATGTGGTGAGACTAGTATAAATTCATAATTATAAAATTTATTAATTCAGTTTTGTGCATTATTTCAAACTGCATTAAATTTCCCTGATAACCTCCAAGTTAACTAACTCCATGGAGCTGAGTCCTAGTAAAGCTAACAGCTGCTCACCAACTCAAGAAGTTCCCAACATTTTATGAAAACCAAAGATTCATTACCATGTCTGGCAGAGAATCCTTTTTAGAAAGACTGCTTGGAAAACAAAGAACGAAACTGAAGGACAATGTTAAAATTTAACGTAGGTACACAGGTTATAACGATGTAATCTAACGATGCTCTCACTGATGACATTTGTTGTTAATAATCTGGATAAGTTTCAGACCAATAATTCTGTATATATGATTTGTACAAGGAGGAATGACCACCTTCATATACCTACAACTCATTTATCATGCTATCAGAGAGGGGTGTATTATTCAGGCGTCAAGCTATTTAAAACTCTGCTGTCAAATATCTCAGTTTTAAATGATGATAAAAATCAATTTCAGTTTGTTTTATGAAATTATTTGCAAAGTAAGTCATTTTACTCTATTGATGAATTTGTCCAGCATGCAAGGGGCTCAAAAGTTAAGCGTTAATAAATGGTCTGTGTGCTTGTATTATATGTTGTTGAGACTTGCTTGTAAGTGTGGCAGTATGTATGACTCCTGTGTTTGATATGAAACTGTACTGATGATATGGCTGACCAGTGTATGTGTGGAATGGCAAGGTGTCAATTTGAGAGTGGTTTTTCCATGGCCTATGTGTGTAGTCTTGACAACTTGTGCTGTCTGCATGAGGCCTGATTATATATTTTATTGGACCAAGGATGTATGATGTGTAGTCATCATGAATTTCTAATGTGTGACATGTATTATATCCAGCCCCACAGGAAGATGATTGGATTCATGAAGTGAAAATAAATGTAAATGTAAACGTAAATCTGAATAAAACTTGACTCAGGATTTTGTCCATTGAAGGGCTCTGGAATTGGTGGTGTGGAACTTTCAGGTTAAATTACCACATAATTAAATGATTATTCTCCATTAATAAATATGATTACTTATAATACCAGCAACAGGTCTTACTTCATAACCATGTTAAACAAAATTTGAAGCTGATGTATGAATAATTTACAGTGTTCTAATAATGTGGACAAACATTTCAAATTCTATTCTTGTTCCAGGAAAAATAAGTTGAGCTGTTTCAGAGTAAAATAATAATGATTATATTGATTATAATCTGTGTAAGACACAACAAAATCACTGACTTCACACAAAAGTCTGTCACTCCAAATCACTTGATGTAACAATGGAACCCCCATTTAACATTTCTCAGTTCAAGATTTTCCCTCATTCAACATTCAGTTTCAATGCTGCCAAGTCATAATGTCAGTGATAAACTTCCTCCATTTAAATATTCCACAGTTTAGCATTTACTTTGACCCCAGGGATCCATGTACAGCTTCCATAAGTTTCTTAGTTTTGAACACTGTAAGAATCTCAGTTCTGGGGTTCACACACAGAAAGTGTGAGTCTCCAGTGGAGAATACAGCTCTTCTGTCTGCCTCCTTTATAAATTCTGCCAATGTATGAGATTCTCCACAGTCTGACATAGTTGACATATCTGTCCGGCACATATGAAGTAGCCAATCCTTGACCTTTCCAGGTAGATGTGTTTCAAGTAACTGTGTTCTGTCCTCTCTGCATAACAGGTTTTTTAACTGACCACATGCAACTTCTGTCACTGTTACCGTTTCTGCAAATTCATTCATCTCACCTTTGTCAAATACTCGATCCTAGAAATGAGAAGAAGAGTGTGCTACAGGAGTCTGCTGATAATCCAGTTTCAACTGAATCTGCTCAACCAACTAAACAAATATGAATATTATTATAACTTAGTTCCCATGAATTAGGCTTTCTGATGACATACAGTAAAACATGTAGAGTAAAATGCTTATATGTGGTATTATAAAAATGTTCTGGGACAAGATCCATATCTTTAAAGTGACACTAATAAGCCCTTAGAAGCAGCTGATATCAAGCACTGTCCTCCAGTAGCTATATATATCATTCAGAACATTTCTCAAAGCCACTACTAATGACCTTGTACAAAGCAATCTCTAAAGTCGCATGAACTTCCACTGCATCTGTCAAGTAACAGCCCTTCAGTGGGTCCTCCTGTACCTGTCTCACATTTCCCATCCACTGTGAAGGTTATCTTGCAGCAATTCAGAATTGCCTTATGTACTGTAAAATGACTCTTATCACCTTGGACCAGAATATTATTTGTTTGCACACAGTGTCTGAAGGATCTGCAGCATTTCTATCACTATTTTTCCAGTTGCTAATAAAATACTATCCTGTCAAAAAAGTCAATCTATTTTCCCACTTTGAAACATTCCACACACACTGCAGTCTCCTGTGTGACCTATTATGTCTGCTAGCTTAACGACAACTGAAAAGCTCTGCTAAGTATGTGGAGAGTGTATGAGCAGGTTTAAGTCTACTTGACACAAAGTCACTCTATTCACATGGGTCCTGGAACTTTTTAAGCTACCTGGTAAGAGTAAACCTAGACACCACAGTGGTAAATAATAATGTTAGTACTGTAATTTTTATCTTATGAAGGTCTCTATACATAAGACTATTCTACGTTTCACAATTACTTGCTAGATAACTTTAATAGTTTTGGCTCAATATGAAGCCAAGAGAAGAAAACTGAAACCCCTGCACTAAATATTGTTCTTACCTCTAATAATCCACTGTCACAGTCATTGCCAGGAGACATAAGACACCAGGCCACAAGACACACTACACACATTAAGGCATCCAGATTGATCATTACATGAACAAAATATTCCACCAACAAGTCCTTAGCCCTCTGTGGCATTACAGGAAACTTGGTACAGCCAAAATGCATTGCAAGGCTGGAAATCAGTTCACGTACATGTGAACATTCATCATCCAACAACGTCATAACCACAGTCCATAGTGTGCAGACATCCAGAGCTGTAACATCAGATTTAATGAAGGCAATAGGTCATTGTGATATAAATAAAAAAAGAAAAAAGAACTTCATCACTCATCTTCCAGTTGCAGATCACTCAAAGAAACCGAAGATGTCAAACTTTTCCCACGGCTTGAACTTCTCCACAGAAGTAGTAACAAGAGCATGGCATTCCCAAAAGTAAATGGATATGATCACAACTTCCTACAAACAGTACAGATGACACAAGATGCTAATGTTGTGACTCTTTTATTTTCAGTATTTATATTTATTTAAAAACATCTTCTTAAACTCAGATTTCTTTAATATTTATCTCTGTGGGTCAAAGTGGTGGTACAGATTGAAATAAAATAACTATTACAAAATATTACCTTTCATAGCTACATAGTACCAATTGTTATCCCATAAACAGGACAGAGTTAAGCATGTAAAATTGAAATTCCTGAAACTTTATACTTTGTATGTCTCTAAATAATGCAATGTCATAAATTGGATTATTTTTAAATACAATTTTGCTTTCACGGATTCTTATGTAATTCCTAATTTTATAGGTGACATTATTACCACTATATCTATCATTCGCTGGTCACGGTAGCCGAGTGGTCTAAGGCATGCACTGTCTCCACTCGCTCGGAAGCCGGGATCATGGGTTCGAATCCCACTGAGGACATGGATGTTTGTGTGCGTTTTTCTGTGTTTGTGTACAGGTAGAGGCCATGCGACGAGCTGATCACTCGCC